TAAGTTAAGTGAATTCAGTTAAAAAAAAAAAATACATTATGTACAAGTTTTGACAGTGAAATACTGTGTGGGTGTGTGTTGTTTTTTATGACACAGGGTCTACTAAAACAAGTCCATATTTTTCTTCAGCCCGGGCGACTCAAGAAAGACTTTCTCAACTATAATGATCAGTCCATTATTACTGGATCATAAAAAAGATAAACTCTATTATTTTGATGCTTTTCCAGTTTCATTAATTACCTGAACAATCTTGAAGCGCTGTAGCTTTCACCAGATTAGCGCGCTTTAGCCACTGACAGCTCTACATGGCTAACTAGCATAAGTGGTATATAGAAAAAGTGGACATTTTCCATTTTCAAACCATCACACTCCAAGCAAACACGTACAGGTAGTGTGCATATGATGGTATATATGAGTGAAAGTGCTGTAAGTGACTGACAGGCCTCATACTAGCACAGTTTCAAAATTGGCTATTAGCTTAGCTAGCTTAAACAAATGAGACGTGTAATTTTAGCCTACTTGAAAATTTCCAACAGTTGCTCACCATTTACAGTGGGGCAAAAAAGTATTTAGTCAGCCACCGATTGTGCAAGTTCCCCCACCTAAAATGATGACAGAGGTCAGTAATTTGCACCAGAGGTACACTTCAACTGTGAGAGACAGAATGTGAAAAAAAAATCCATGAATCCACATGGTAGGATTTGTAAAGAATTTATTGGTAAATCAGGGTGGAAAATAAGTATTTGGTCAATAACAAAAATACAACTCAATACTTTGTAACATAACCTTTGTTGGCAATAACAGAGGTCAAACGTTTACTATAGGTCTTTACCAGGTTTGCACACACAGTAGCTGGTATTTTGGCCCATTCCTCCATGCAGATCTTCTCGAGAGCAGTGATGTTTTGGGGCTGTCGCAGAGCAACACAGACTTTCAACTCCCGCCACAGATTTTCTATGGCGTTGAGGTCTGGAGACTGGCTAGGCCACTCCAGGACTTTCAAATGCATCTTACGGAGCCACTCCTTTGTTGCCCGGGCGGTGTGTTTTGGATCATTGTCATGTTGGAAGACCCAGCCTCGTTTCATCTTCAAAGTTCTCACTGATGGAAGGAGGCTTTGGCTCAAAATCTCACGATACATGGCCCCATTCATTCTGTCCTTAACACGGATCAGTCGTCCTGTCCCCTTGGCAGAAAACCAGCCCCATAGCATGATGTTTCCACCCCCATGCTTCACAGTAGGTATGGTGTTCTTGGGATGCAACTCAGTATTCTTCTTCCTCCAAACACGACGAGTTGAGTTTATACCAAAAAGTTCTACTTTGGTTTCATCTGACCACATGACATTCTCCCAATCCTCTGCTGTATCATCCATGTGCTCTCTGGCAAACTTCAGACGGGCCTGGACATGCACTGGCTTCAGCAGTGGAACACGTCTGGCACTGCGGGATTTGATTCCCTGCCGTTGTAGTGTGTTACTGATGGTGACCTTTGTTACTTTGGTCCCAGCTCTCTGCAGGTCATTCACCAGGTCCCCCCGTGTGGTTCTGGGATCTTTGCTCACCGTTTTCATGATCATTTTGACCCCACGGGATGAGATCTTGCGTGGAGCCCCAGATCGAGGGAGATTATCAGTGTCTTCCATTTTCTGATGATTGCTCCCACAGTTGATTTTTTCACACCAAGCTGCTTGCCTATTGTAGATTCACTCTTCCCAGTCTGGTGCAGGTCTACAATACTTTTCCTGGTGTCCTTCGAAAGCTCTTTGGTCTTGGCCATGGCGGCGTTTGGAGTCTGACTGTTTGAGGCTGTGGACAGGTGTCTTTTATACAGATGATGAGTTCAAACAGGTGCCATTCATACAGGTAACGAGTGGGGGACAGAAAAGCTTCTTACAGAAGACGTTACAGGTCTGTGAGAGCCAGAGATTTTCCTTGTTTGAGGTGACCAAATACTTATTTTCCACCCTAATTTACGAATAAATTCTTTACAAATCCTACCATGTGAATTCATGGATTTTTTTTTCACATTCTGTCTCTCACAGTTGAAGTGTATCTCTGGTGCAAATTACTGACCTCTGTCATCATTTTAAGTGGGGGAACTTGCACAATCGGTGGCTGACTAAATACTTTTTTGCCCCACTGTAAATGACTCCATCAGTTACTGAAGCATCACTGAGGATTTGGTCCTCATTTGAACCCTGATTTATATTTTTAAAGCCAATGTTTCTTAAAACAGCAACCTCCTGGCATGCTGTCCTGTCCCACCCACTGTTCCATTAGTAGTGATGTGCGGATCGATCCTGAAATATCGATTCCTCCGATACCAGTCATTTATGTTCTAGAATCGATTCTCACATTAAAATATCGATATTTTAGTAATTTAGGGTAAATTTGTAGTTTATCATTAAAATGAACGCAGTGGAAAGAAACTATAACATTCGGATTGTCTACTTTCAAAGGAACTACTTCCTCTTCCGCCTTTCATAGTCATGTGCGAAATACGGCTGTATAAATGTCTTGCAGCCCCCTGGCGTGCGCACTCACAACAATGGCTGAGCGTAACTGGAGTCATGTGTGAACGTATTTTACCTCCACAAACAGCTGAGATGTGGTTTGCGATACATGTGGCAAAAAAGTGAGGTCTTGTAGCCATACTTGCCAACCTTGAGACCTCAGAATTAGGGAGACATTCAAAAGGGCTGTTGGGGGGGTGATAGATACATTTTACAGGGTTTATTTATCGGGTAAAATACGTTAAATGTCACTGTTATTATTGGCCGGCTCAGAAACAGCGGGGGTGTCCAAATTCAGAGGCTGCTTCTACCTGAGGACCCGGCCTTCGCGGTCTAAAGAAAGCCGGGTAGCACGTCACGAGCTCCCTCAGTGGAGTGAAACTGCCGTCTTCTCCTTGCTGTCTAAAATATAACCGGGCGCTGACGTAAACTCTTCTGTTTGATCATTTTCTGTTTGATGTTTATTCAGCTGTGTGAAAACCCTGGAGGAACCCTCCCGAGGGATTAATAAAGTTACATTTAATTTAATGTAAACTTTAATCTCAGCCAAACCGATTTACTCACGAACAAATAAACCACTGAAAAAGTCAAACAATAACATTTTTAAGTTATCAAAGTGACTTATATATCATGTTTAACCCGAGTAGTGAAAGACCGCGGGGGTTTGAAAACGATGTGTAGGTCAGCTCAGATATTTGAAGTTTACACAGTTACATTCTCACCTGAAAATATGTTAAAAGGTTTTTTTGCGACCCAGAAAGAGAAATAGGAGTAATATTAAAACTAAGACGCTGCCGCCATTGTTGGAAACTGGAATTGGCTGGCCGCGCTATGAATTCTGCGATATGGTTTTTCAATTTTGTTGTCCGGGTGGAAAATTGGGAGAAATTCGGGACAATGGTGGCTCCGGGAGATTTCCGGGAGGGGCACTGAAATTTGTGATTCTCCCGGAAAAATCAGCAGGGTTGGCATGTATGGTTGTGGCAACATCACTAACCTTGTCAAACACCTCAGTGTAAATCACATCACAGAACATGACGAGCGTATGTTCAGGCGAACTGAAGTGGAGGAGAGGGACAGGTGCTGCTAGGGCGAGACAGACGTCTCCCACGGAGTACTTTAGTGCTGCAGGCAGGCAAGCTGTTCAAATAGCACACAACTTCAGTTTTTTTTTTTTATTTCTATATGATGAATCCTGCGTTATTAAGTGATAAGAACAAGTAATCTGATGTCCTGTAATCATTATGACGCTATAATTTGAGATACAATAAATAAAATAAGTTTTTGTACAGAGTATCGGTATCGGATCAGTATCGTCGATATCACCCTGGATATTACTTGGTATCGGATCGGAAAGGAAATCAGTGGTATCGCACATCACTATCATTAGAGAGCACCGCTCATACTTTAACCACACATTTACAGACTGTGTGTTAAGTGAGGCTCAAAGAGAAATGTTTTCCCAAAAGCAAGCTTTTCATTTAGTCTTATTAAAAAAGCTAATAAATTTCTAGCAGTTTCAAACACTTTATCCAAAACCCAAGGACTCAAAGGATTTCCAAGCATCCATATAAACCCTGAAATAACTGAGAAATGCAGGCCATAGTGTATTTAAAGCTTAAAGTTTACATGCATAATAAGGTAAGACACAAATCGAGGTCTAGGAATTATCGGTTTCTTTTCAGGAGAAACCATCCACTCAGAGCTGTCACCTGTAGTGAAGTACTGTTTGCAGTCTGACTTTCTGAACCTGATAGGCACAGGAAATAAACAGACAGGCAGGAAGGTCAAAGTTGATCTGGTGTCCTAGTTGAAGCTGTGACCTCATCACGCTGGTTGCCACCACAGCCACCATAACAGGAAGAGGTGGAGTGAGAGCAGGGGAAGTGCACAGAGACGAAGTGGGAGGTTAAGGCATGAGGTATCAGTGAAAAATATGCTGATGCGCACGCACAGCACACAGAAACATGCATGCGCACATCCACAGCAGGAGCTGATAAGCAATCGGAGTAAAAATGTCTCATGGAAATCAAAAAAAGAGGTACAACTGATCACAGAAATCAAGCAACAAACTCCTCGTGTAATTGTTACAATATGTTATTCCCACATGTAAAGACATATTTGAGCAGTCATTTAATAACTTGATGCTCTGATTTGTTGTATTCTTGTTTTCTGGACAATTTAGCAGAGGATTTTTGTGAAAACTAAGTGAGCAGCCCACTCATCTCTAATGATTTATCACAGGATCAGCAGTTTATCGTTGGATCTCTTAGCAAAGAAGCACTGGCAGCCCACTCAGCTGTGTTCTGTATTTAGGCAAACAGCAGACAAAGTGGGAACACGTACAGCAGAGATCTCTGCTGGGATTCAGCTGCAAGCATATTTCTACATTTGGGAACTTCTTGTCAAAGCTGTTTGTATTAATGCGTGTGGTTTAATTTAGAAAAATTTGCACCTTCACCTGCTCTTGCTTTCCTGTTTCCAGGTCTCCTTCTTCCTCTTTATCGTGTTTGTTGTCTACACCATGCTTCCCTTCTCCATGAGAGGGGCCATTATCGCCAGTGGAATCACCTGCTTCTCACACACTATCACTCTCAGTGTCTGTCTGACCACCCGCGACACAGACCTGGAGGATCCTTTAGTCTGGCAGGTAAACCTGAACACACAGCCACGCTGTTGGAATCTGCCGATATATTTTCCATGACTTCCTGCTTGTGCTGCATATGTAATTTCTTCTCCATATTAGCTGCAGCATGAAAACTTGTTCTCTAATGTTTTTCCAAGCATGATTAAAAATGATGAGGTGCAGCGTCTGGGTTGTAAAACAATGAACCTATCCTGTATAATCGAGCACATTCAGCAGGGCCTCCAGAGTAATGTGAAGGGCCTTTTACCGCACTCAGGGAACAGCCCTTCAAAACTGGCTCTAACTGAATGGACTGTTGCTACAGTAAAACAAAGAGAGTCTCGCCGCAGACCGATAAGAGAAAAATATTATCCATAAACGTCAATAAGCGTGCAGAAACATGAAGTGAACTAGAATTGATTTGGCATCAGATCCATTTCTGCTGCTGCTGGCACACACACACACACACAAACACACACACACTCCAATCAACCATCAGAGTAAAAACACTGTAATCACAACAGCCTTCAATAGCTTTCTTCGCTCTCACACACTCACACATGCAGAGTGGAAAAGTACTCTACCAATAAACCAGTGTTCAAAGGCAAAGCATGATCTTGGATACGGCACCAAGGACAACTTATTCATATGCAGGTCCACACTGTAAAGAGCTTGTGGTTGACACGGTGGTGGAAAGCACTGCAAAAGTGTGTGTTCTCGCCTGGTTTTACAAGGTAATAACAGAGGCTTAAGTGGAAAGGTCGTATAGTGGAAAAATGACTGGCACAATCATATTTGCAATATAGGTCAGCTCTTAATTGCTTATTTCTTCCATGTTTGTGTGCCTGTGTGTGGCAGATCTTAGCCAATGTGATAATCTTCACCTGTGGAAACTTGGCTGGGGCATATCACAAGCATCTGATGGACCTGGCACTCAAACAGACCTATCAGGACACCTGCAACTGCATCAAGTCTCCCATCAAGCTGGAGTTTGAAAAGCACCAACAGGTACACACTTTGAGAGCCATACTTTAGTTCTTGAAGTTACTTCTTGGTTATTATCCACTAGTTTGACTGTCTGCAAATCCAACAGTCATGCTAACTCTACTCTGGGGCTCAAACATTATGTGTACTGGGGGCTGGCTAATGTTTGTCAGCTTTAGTTTTGTTGCTAACTCGGACAATTCATTAGCTACCAAAATAGCAGCTATGGGGCTAACTTGCTAACTAGCTTGATTCCTTCCCAACGTTCCAGCCACTTTCCATCATTTTGTTCCATCGCTAACAAAATACTATCTGAAACTACAACAGCTTTTGGTTCTCAAGCAGAGTTTGTGTTGAAACTTTGTGCATGACAAGCGTCATATCCTATGTATTTTTGCCTAGAATCCATCCATCCATGGTTCCCTTAGAAATTACTCCACAAGCTGTTAAGAGTTGGAGAAGTTCCCATTTTGAAGTTACAAAACAGGCCTGTCAAATTTTGGCACTAAAAAAAGTATTAAATACATTCAAAAATAGCTACGCTAATTGGATAGATTGCAGTGAATTTGGTAGAGAGTCATTATCTTTGACTTCTTTTCTTGCTCCATTCATCCACTCATTAGTAAACATATCAATCCATTGACCACATATCTGATTCAGGGATCTCTTTCAGGTGTCCTGAGATTAGTTACACTCACCCACTGACATCAACTAATGGTACCCAACTAATCTTCATTAGTTACACCTTGCTAGGACTGAGTTGGTCTCCCTTTTTCCTTCAGACCCGCTTTAATTCTTCATGGCATGGATTCAACAAGGTGCTGGAAACATTGCTCAGAGATTTTGGTCCATGTTGACATGAAAACATCACACAATTGCTGCAGATTTTGTCAATCAATCATCTGAATCTCGAATTCCACCACATCCCACCGGTGCTCTACTGGACTGAGATCTGGTGACTGCAGAAGCCATTTGAGTACAGTTAACTCACTGTTTTGTTCAAAAAACAGTTTGAGATTTGTGATATAGTCCGAAATGTCACTCCCATTATGTCCATTTAAATGATACTCAACTACTAATGGGCCCAAACTGTGCCAAGAAAATATCCTCTCACACCATTACATCACCATCTCCAGCCTGAACCGCCGATACAAAGCAGGATGGATCCATGCTTTCATGCTGTTTATACCAAATTCTGATGAATTCTTGAGACTCATCAAATCAGGCAACCGTTTTCCAATCTTATAATGTCCAATTTAGGCAAGCTAGTGCGAATTATGGTCTCAGATTCCTGTTCTTAGCTCACAGAGTGTCTTTTGCTGCTGTAAATGATCTGCTGCAAAGTTCAAAATGTTGTTGGTGCAGAGATGGTTTTTCTGCATACCTTGGTTGTAATGATTGGATATTTGAGTGAATATATCTCTGTAAACCCTAAAGATGGTCCTGGGTTAGATGGATTCTAATCCAGGATTTGATGTCTTGCGTGATCTCTACCAAGCACCGTAATCAATCAAAATGTATTACCTTTACAAACACACAGATGTAATATTTCTATTTAGCCTTGACTATACTTAGTGTTTACTGCTAAGTGGCAAAGGCAAGCATCCTATTTGCATGCTGATTTTTATAATTAGCTCAAGGCCTTGCTGGCCTCTGCCTTGTCCTAAGCCTCGTTATTGCTATCTGTCTCTTAATATGAGTGCCCACATTAAATTCAAACCGCCTCTGTTTTAATTGCCAAAATATTTCACTTCTTAGTTTTGTCAGGGATGAGGAGTTGGTAAGTCCGTCATGTCTAAGTGGCATTATGCGGTGACATTTGCTTGACATTAGCGTCTTTGCCCTGACATTAGCCATTCTTTCCAACCAGGGAAATGACATATGAACGTGCACACTAATAACCTGCAGTGTACGCACTTGGCATTGACTATGAGTTTTTAAATCATTTTTTAACTTGCTAAGTTTGTAAAAAGTTGCTTACTTACTACAGGAATCTTTTTTGTAAAAACGCTGAATTTAGGTGTAGTTACCATTTCTTGTTATTTCTTGTTAAGTTATTTACATGTTTTATTTGTGAACATAGGTCAGCAGAGTCTATCTGTTGATCTATGTTTTATAACTAAGCTGGCATCTGTTCCTCAGCACCAGTATCTGCATCACTGTGTGAGGACGCACACAAATGCCACTGCATAAAACAAATCTCATTCAGCGACTGAACACACAACTTTAGTTGATTAATCAAACACATGATTAATAACACTACATCTCCCCAGGCTACAGTGGAGTGTTCATATTGCTCCGGCGCTGAATAAGTAAATAAGAGCAAGTGTTGCTATTGGTTTCTATTTTTAGAGCCCCTGGTCCCTCTCTCGACTTAATTTGCTGCTGTGTTTTAGGAAATGAGCCCGTGGTGTGTGAACAATGTAATGACCCTCTCTGCTGTGAGCTGCATTTATGAGTCACACCCCCTCAGGCAGCTATTCACTCTCTCTAACATGCACACACACCCACACACATGCCCACACGCTTGCACATGCACGCCAAAATCACCCTCTATGCAAGTGTGTATGGTGCTAAATTAAAGCAAAAACTTCTGGTTACACAACAGCGAAGGGTGATGGATCTTACATCTCTGGTTCTGCATTTTTCTCCTCACTGTATAATGACATGACTTTTCCAAAGCGTAGGTAAACTTTCTAAAAAATCACCAGCAGCTGTCAGAGTCGTTTGTATAGTCGTATTTGTGCAACAATAATGTAGCCTTCAAAAATCAGACAAGAGATGAATCCTCGGAAGCAAAATGTGATAAACAGACCCAGATCACTGCCAACAGCCACCTGTGTGCTTTTGTTGACTTCAGCCACGAGGCATTTCAGTTTCTGAGATATTCCAGCAAATGCAGCTGCACAGCAGTGTTCATCAGATGCTTAAGATGCTTTTTGGGAAATGTAGAAAAACCTACAAAATGAGAAAGAAATCAATGATTTGGACTAGGGACTATAATAGGTCAAATAAATTTTACTTCACTGCAAAGGTACATCTATATGGCATCTACATTTTCATTATGACTGTATATAAAAAATGGATGTACATGATTCAGTTTCACAGTTTGGGTCATTCACTTATTTTCATTCTTTGTAGTCGTTTTAGTTCCCTATGTGTTTCCCCGTCTGTTCCGTCCTCTGTCTCATCTTTATCTTTTGCCTGTTCCCTTGTCTGCTTTCATGTTTAGCACGAACCTTCTCGCTGCATTTTTTATTTTGCATTTCATGAACTTGCTGTACAACTTTGTAGGTTACCTATTGTAGTTTTACTTCATGTCTGTCTCCCATCAATTCTCTGATTGTTTCCACCTCCCTTTGGACTTGGTTCATATTTGACTCGTGATCAGCTAGCTAACATGCATTTCGGTCCTCATCAATCCTCATTGTGACAACTGGCGCATCATACAGATGCAAGTAGCGCCTAAGTGCCTACATATACATACTGAAATAAAATAATATAAAACTTGAGCTCATTTTTTGTTTGGACTGTTAATACAATAATAAACCTCTCAGCAAGTCATCAGTTGTCACCCCAAAACACACTCAGGGATCCAGTTCACTGACTAAAAACCGGCTTGAGGTGATGTTTAGCAGATAGCTAGCTGTTACAATAATAGAACAACATATACCTGTCACCCATTAGGGATAGGACTACCATTTGGTACCTTATGCTAAAGAATCACATTTTTCAGAAACTAAAGTTTCAACAGTGCATTTTGCTATGCAGCTCTTCTTTCATTAGCATTTCCATTTAGTTATGCACAACAACCCAAAAATTTGATAAAAACAGATGGATCCTAATGGAGTAGACAGGTGATTTGGTGGATGTTAAATGGGTAATACAATTTGAATGGGTGGTTATAAAAAAAATTCCCAGTGGGGCTATTTAACTATTTTTTAATGGTGGAAGCTCACATAGTCAGCAACGTCAAGCTCACCTCAGCTGCAATCCCAGCAAATCTCCTGATTCAATGCTGACAAAAAAGCTGACAGCCAAAACTCATATGCCTGGTTCAGTCTGAAGAGAAAACACAAATGCCTTTGGGATTATGGCAGGTAGGGTTTCTCCTACAAAAATCTACCAAATCAAACATGCAGAGCTACCTGCTTCGAGGACCCCATGTAAATAAGGGAGTGGCTGAAAGCGGCTTAAAAAAATGCTTTTGTCTGCAAGCCACTTTGCAACCCACCTGGACCGCATCTTATGCTTTCTTGCTCTTTCTGAATTAGTGTCAGCTCTGTTGTCACTGATAACTTCTCTGCCGATCTTTTCAGCAGTGGCTGTTAGCGCCCAAGCAGCGCCACAACTCCAAATATAAATTACTGTTATTATCTATAGTACCGCTGACTGAACTGCAATTTTTGCACTTCCACATTAATTTTGACACCACTGGAGGTTACCAAGTGCATTTACCTTAATGTTCCATTCAATCACTCATTTAACCGGCAGCCTAAAAATGCGCAGAACCTGGTTTCCCATGACACACTGCATATTTGAAAATGTGCCTCGAGAGATTTTCAGTGCTTGACTTTGGCTTCCTGTGCTCAGTGCTTGAAAAATTAGCCCCAATGAGCCATCATTAAGGGATGTAAAAATAGGTTAAATATTAGCTGTGGATGACAACAGAAGAGAATAGAGTAGAACAGACTTAATTATGCACTACTCCTTGTCAGACACTACATGTGATCCTTTAGGTCTCCTAGAAAAGGAGCTCAGCTTTCAGTTTCAGGGAGCAAATTATTTAAACCAGTTTGAATGGGAATTAAGATTTTTGTACTCGTGGAGCCTTTCTGTTTGATTGGTGGAAACAAAACCGATTATTTCCATATCATAGTATATCAGAAAGACAAAGTCTCTTTATCAACCTGCCATTGTTATTCACTGTTAACATTTAAACTACGTTAACCGCCTGCCTTGCCTGCCTTGCATTCCTCCCCCCACATCTCCCTCCCTGTAGGAGCGCTTGCTGTTATCCCTACTGCCTGCTCACATAGCCAGAGTGATGAAAGCTGAGATCATCCAGAGGCTTCAGGGACCGAATTTCGGTCGAACTGAGAGCACCAACAACTTCCACAACCTCTACGTGCAGCGGCACACCAATGTCAGGTAAGTGTCCCTCTCCTTTCTCTGTACCTCCACATGATAAAGATGATTACTTTCTGCTCTCATCTTAGCTCCTGATTGCTTGTATGCTATCCTGTCCTCCTGCTCACACTTCACCCACCTTTGTCCTCCACCCTCCACCAGCTCTTATAGGTGGATCTCTCCTACTGTATATTACTGCAATCTTCACATCTTCTGTCATGTCCTGTAATTTCATTTCTTTTCCTCAAACCACTCTTTTTGGGCCATCCTCTTTACATCCCATTTTCTTCTTTCCTTTCATGACTGAATTCACCTCAGAGTTAATCCACCTCTATTGTCCTCTGAGGTCACTTTGCGAAATGAGCAGGAGCCTCTGTCCTTGTTTCCCGATGACATCCTCCTCTGTACTGAGGGGGTTCATAGTAACAGAGTACACAAACCCAGGCTTACTATGAGAGCCTCTTCACCAAATGCCCTCTAAAAATCTGTTTTTACCCTCATCATGGAGCTTCACAGGAGAAATAGCACCGTGCCTCATTTCAGGTGTGTGTGTGTGGATGAATGTGTGTGTCTCATGTTGATCTGCCTATTATCTCTCCAATAATAACAAAATCTCACATGGTCCAGCTCACAGTGATGGCTGAGACAAGGGAAATCTTTCCAGAACAAAGAACAGGTGCAGGTGGAAATGCAGTTTTGCTGGGATCCTCTTAAATGAATCAGCTAGCAGAGAGCCAAACAGGTACTACCCCATTATCAGTTCTCCAGCTGCAGTAATAGGCTTGGCTGAAGATCATACCATTCTTTCTCTTTCGGGAGATGGTCACATACTAAACGCTGGCACATCGCGAGATAGATAGCTGGAAATGTAACGTGTGAATATGGTTGCTTTAAAGTGCACACACCTTTCCTATTTTTAAAAAAATACATTTTAACCATTAAAAATTGTATATAAGTATAGAACATGCAGTTTATGCTGCTATATAAGAGTTACAATGATGAGAAACTACAGCCTCCAAAAGTTGAATCAGCAGCACAGGTGTTAGAGAGCTGTTGTCATTATAGAGTTACATAAAGGCTGATGCAGCAACCGTTACGTCACTTATTGGTTTGTGAACTCTGGACTCCAATCCCACGAGTTCTCCAGCGTTTTGTATCAACTTACCAACGTTACTCGCTGCTAATATGTAAATCATATTATTGCCTGGGTATCCTAGTTTCCACTGTAAAGCCTCAGTGGCGGTATATTGCCAACTGCAGTGCTAATTTTTTGAAGCTATATTTGAACCAGATGGTGGAGCGCTAAAGTTATAAGCTCATCTTTATCTCTAAACTTTACAGACGCCGTGCACACTCACAGATACCTGCTGGCTTAGCGATAGATTAATAAAATCCTTGAATTTCATCCAACAAAACTGAAACACAACTTCTTGGATTTCTTGGCCCACAGAAGCTTCATTATTTGTCAGATAATTCCATTAAAAATGCTCCCAGACAGCACAGAAAAACACAGTTGGCACAATTCAGTATATACAAGTCAATATTTGGTATGGCCACCTTTTTCTTCATAACAGTCTGAACTCTGTTAGACAGTTTTCTCATCATTTCAAGTAGTCTTCAAGCATAATTCTCCAGGCTTCCTAAAGGACATTCAAAGCTCTTCTTTGGATGTTTGCTGTCGACATGATCCCAAATTGCTTAAGTATATAAGGTAAAAACAAAATTTGAACAGTTCTAATGGCTTTCCTTCTTCAACACAGCCTGAACTCCAAAGGAAAGCTTTCATGTAATTTCTTTAAGGAGTCCTTAGGAGTAGTACTCCAGGCTTCTTGAAGGACATTAACAGCTCTTCTTTGGATGTGGACTGCCTTTTGATCTACTCTTTGTCACGATGATCCAACACTGCTTCAATAATGTTGAGTTCTGGGTTTTGGGGAGGCCAATCCATGACTTATTGTTTTCCAATCCAGATATGCTTTTACTGCACTGGGAGTGTTTGGGATGATTGTCATTGTGAAAAATTAAACCATTCAGATACTTCCTAGGTGGTATTTAGTAGTGGCTCAAAATCTAATGGTGGTTTTCTGTGTTCTTAACTCTTATCAATGAATAAAATTGTCACGGTCTGTATGGCAGACCGTGGGGAGGCGGGGAAGGAGGACCCAAAATGCAGGACTCTACAATGACAGCAGTGCATTTATTTACAGTGCAGTAAATAATCACACACAAATAAATCCCTGCGCGCCCCAGACTCCGGTGCCGTGTTTTCTCTGTGTCCTCGCTTCCAAGTGTCCACGCACCCCATGCTTGTTGCCCTCTCATTTCCACGCTCCTCCTGGGAAATGACAGAGGCAGACGTTAGACACTCTCAAACTGCAGCAGGCTTACTCTCACTGAGAAAGCTCCACCACACTCCTAAGTAGCTCCTCCGATGAGGCTTGATCAGCTGCAGGTGTGTGATCATTTCCTCAGGTGTGGCCAGCTACCTGGCAGGGACACACCCACCAGACCTGAAGGTGGGTGTCCCTGCCAGGTACAGCCACACACACACACACACACACGCCCGCAAGCAGGGAAACAGGGACAGCAGCATAATATACACACACATCAACAACAAGTAAACAAGTCCACTGACTGCTCAAACCTTGGGGTCCCACAGACCCAGGTCCTGACAAAAAGTTTGGTGTTGGCATTTTTGCATCTTGCTGCTGATAACAAAGTACTTAAAGATATCATTTAAAATTGATCCTTTGTCAGTAAAAGGACTGGACTGAAAATGAGTGAAAGAGCAACAAATGACTGAAGAAAAACTTTGAAATTGCTTCAAAAAGTCTGGAAAACTGCTGCTCGAGACCACTTTAAAAGTACATGGAAGCAAAATATAAAGAAGGACTTTTGCACTGTACTACATTACACAATGGTTTTCCTTTTAACAGTGTTCTTTATCTTTGTTTTTACAGCATTCTCTACGCAGACATCGTGGGCTTCACCAGGCTGGCCAGTGACTGCTCCCCAGGCGAGCTCGTGCACATGCTGAACGAACTCTTCGGCAAGTTTGACCAGATCGCGAAGGTAAACCGAAAAGACACTCTCAACTGAATTTACTGTACGTATACCCACTCTGTATGATTAAAATAGACACAGTCATATGCATCATGCAGTAAGAGCCTCCATAAATCAAAGCAGCAAATGGCATTTTAATCAGAAATTCATTTGAATTTAATGAGGAAATAATGGAAGACATGAAACAGTTGGTCTTGGTTCACATGTAGTGCTTTCAGGGTAATGTCATCTGAAGCTTGAATTAATGTACTAAATTAGAACGGCTTAATTAGAAAGTAACCAAGATGAGAGAACGAGGTCTGTCTGGTGTTGTCTACCAGATGAAACGTGGCCTCGAAATACATTTTTTCTCGGTCCTGCGGCCTCTGTCAGCCTTCCTGCCGCGCTTTCCCGGAGCGCCCTGCGTGCGTGCGTGGGCTGGTCAGAGTGTATCTCGCGGTCTCGGGGGTTCTCAGCTACGTGGGTCTCAACAGTTTAGTCAGGCTCTCTTTGCTTTGTGTCCAGCAGCTCTGTCCTCCCGTCTGACAAAGCTGCTGTTACATAAACCCAGTCCAACGATGAGCTGTTACACTTCCCACATGTGGAATAAGAGCTAATATGCTTTACGTGTGGGTGTATGATTTTGGGCTTGATGGATGTGACTCTGTGCATGAGGGTTAGATGGAGGTAAGGAAGGAATAAAATAGTTGAGGATTAATAAAGATGATAATAATTTTGGACAGATTTGGATATGAAAGAGTTTGATAATGGCTGCAATTCGCTTCCTTCTCTCTTTCTGCTTTTTAAAGGAAAATGAGTGCATGCGAATCAAGATCCTGGGAGACTGTTACTACTGTGTGTCTGGCCTGCCCGAATCGCTGCCTGACCACGCCAGGAACTGCGTGAAGATGGGCCTGGATATGTGTGAGGCCATCAAGTAAAACACCAGATCTTTACTTCTCTTTTCACCCGTATTTTTTTTTTTCGCTCTCTCTCACACAAAGGGAAACGCAAACACAAACAAACACACAGCTGTCAAACAGACTGAGCAGAAGGAATGCCAGACTCGATTCCAGCTCTGTTTGAACTCTGGAGTAAACACAGTGTGAACGCAATACGATAAGCCTCCAGAATGGACAAATAAAATATTCAAACAAACGACAAAATATATTAGCCTGGTTTCTCCCTCTTCTGCTATCTGTCTGTGTGTCTCCATTCACGCGTGAACACACGCGCATTCGTTTCATAGGCTAATATATTAGCTTTTCAACACTGACCTTTAATCACAATCAGATTAAAGATGGCCACCTGTGACATGCTGAGACAGAGTGTGGTTGGTTAGACACTTTCAATTCAGTTTTATTTATCTAGCACAAAATCACAATAACAGTCACCTCAAGGTTCTTTATTTATAACGTAAAGACCCTATAATAATACAGAAAAAAACTCAACAATTTTCTTGTTTTCTGATTCTAAATGCAGCCATAATTTGCAAAATAAACTAGTGCTGTCAAAATGAACGCGTTAACGCAAATTAATCCACCATCACGGTCAACACGATTAAAAATTTTTCACGCAATTAACGCATCTGGAGTGCAGAATGACTCAAAATCCCTGAAATGTTTCCATCAACGTATTTCGGGCAGTTTGTCCAAGTAGAGTTACCTTCGCACATGTGCAAATGGGCAGTTGATCTGGTAGTGACGGGCAGCTGAACCAATCAGCTCAATATGGAAGATGATAAACGCAGATTGGCCCCCTCGATGGGAAATTTGAGTATTAAAAGACTAACAAGACGGAACAGTCGACCGACATAAAGTCTTATGCACATTGTGCAAGAAGGAATTCTCTTTTCACCGAAGCACTTCCAGCTTAAAATGTCACATTAACGCGAAGCACACGTGAGTCAGGGATGCTGCTAGCACTTTGGCTAACGTGTCACCCTCACTAGCTTCTGATGCACACCCAGTCATTTTGTTCTATAGGCAGGTCTGAAATATGACAGAAACTGCTCAGCTTGAAGGATTACTGCTGGTAGGCTTGCAAGGGGGTAAAGAGTTAAAGCAGTTACACATTGTTGATAGCAGATCTTTTATATAGTCTGCGGTTCATAGCTTTTCACCCTCTGATTTAACCAGGCTAGCTATTTCCTTTTACTCCCAGATTTATGCTAAAGGTGAACTGCAACATTGCTACACTTTGTGATTTGTTTTAAACATGTTATGCTTTTCCTTATTTTCTTTCATTTATGTGCTTTTAATAATGGTGGGCGTTTTTAAAGCGGATGGATGGAAATGCTTTATGCTGCGAGCCAAAATCTCAGATTTCAGGCTACTCTGAATTTTTTTCTATGCTTGGATTTGAACAATGCCAGTGATAGCTGGTATCCCTAATGTCATCACAGCCACACAGCTCCACCCACCCACTGTTCAAATTTTGTTTGCAAAGGATAGCCAATAAGACCAAATCGGGGTGTGAACTATGCAAAGCTATTCCACAGTCCTGGAATAAAAATATTAATCTTGAATTTGGCGTAACAAGTCATCTTTAAGTTTTTGATCTTGTTTACAGAAAGTGAGCACAATACATCAAGGTGTTTCTGTACTGTCCACAGGAAGGTCAGAGACGCCACTGGAGTCGACATCAACATGCGTGTTGGCGTTCATTCTGGAAATGTCCTCTGTGGCGTGATTGGCCTCCGGAAGTGGCAATATGATGTGTGGTCACATGATGTAACGCTAGCAAATCACATGGAGGCTGGAGGTGTGCCTGGGTAAGATTAATGAACCGAAGAATGCTTTACTTCATCTCACTGCTGGTGCAAAGCTACTTTGCAATTAGTGTTTGACTTCCCTGCTCCATTGTTGAGATGTTTTACATCATAATAATGGTAACATTTTGAGACATTTTTGGACATGGGATCCGTCTCCTCTAATTCTACCTGTTATGAGCATTTTTGTCAATTATAGCTACTTCATTTGACAAGCAGCTCTGCATTTGTTCTGTGGCCATTAGGGCTGCCATCCCAGCGCTGTAGCAAGCTCCAGAAAATTGGCCGGTGGTTATGTGTATGCTACTCTGAAAATAAGCTCTCCAATGCCACAGTGTTGTCTCACTGGGCTGCTAATAGTTTGTCTCCTGTTATGCCTGCTGAAAGCTATCTGAAAAATATGCCAGATGAAAAAAAACCAAAACATATTTCCATCTCTGTTTGCAGGGCAACCGAGCTGAAAAGCAAGAATTACAGGGTAGTGTAGTTACAAAGCTCGAGCAGAAAAAAAAGTTCAATTGAGCCGTCGGTGGTGCAGTGATGCAAGCTCTTCAGTCTTCAACTGATTTCGTCTATCCACTTACTCTTTTCCAGGAGGGTCCATATCTCTTCAGTAACACTGGAGCATTTGAAAGGCTCATACAAGGTAGAGCCTGGAGATGGACAGACCAGAGATTCCTACCTAAAAGAACATAACGTGGTCACCTACCTGGTCATCAACCCCAAGGTCAGATACCATGACAGCTCTTGTAGTCTCAGTCAGAAAGCAGCAGAGGAGTTTTTCTTGTTAGCTAAAATTTACAGATGTGCCCTAAACGCATCACATGGTAGTTATAAAGTTACTGTCTTGAAAAGAGGACAGCTGTAGGAATACGCTCACTGAATGTTTTTGTGTCCATGTGTGTGTGATGAGTTAAGATAAAGCATGTCCATGTATCTTTATGATGACCCGTTCTAGTTTTGGACAATCAGAGTTATTACATTTTGCAAACGTCATTTTTTCACAACCTTCCAACAGCCTTTTGTAAAGACTCGAGTTCAGGGTTAAAGTTAGAAAGAGGTTTAGGTTATAGTTAGTTCTGAAGGCTAAACTTACTGCTGGGAATGCATTAATGTATGTGGGTGACAGCCAAACGAGCATGCCTGTGCGTGCCCCTCTCTCCCCCTACATACGGAGTGGAGCAGGCAGCAGTCACTGCAGCAGAAACTTTTAGCCTAAATATGCGTGGTCAGCTATAGCATAGTAGCATGCTAGCATGTATATTTGCTAATGATAAACACAAATGAGGCTGACGGAGAATGCTTTTATTGTTGTCTAAAGGCAAAGAAAGATGCCCAACGGATTTACTTTACCAAATTGACCATCCCAGCTTTGCCGTAATGGTCCATTTGATTCACCTTTTATTGTTTATTTTATTTTCACTTACTGAATACGGGACAGACTTGACTGGGGGAAAGAAGGGGAGAAAGAAAGAGGGAAAGAGAAACAGCTGAGAATAGGGACGGGGGAGAAGGGCAAAAAACAAAAACCAACAGAATGAGCAGGAAAAAAAAGAAAAAAAATATGCATATATCAATCACCTGGATCACCTGCTGAGAAAGAAAAAGGAAAACAAGCAGAAGAGAACAAGAGTAATAGAATAAACAACATCACAATGATATATGGGAATATGACAGTAAATACTAAATGTTAAACATTATTGTGCAGCACATAAGATCAACAGAACACAGTGTGCTTTGAGGTAGGAGCCAAAAAGGGTGTAGTTTGTGGGTGTGATCACCCGTGTGTACACCTGTGAGCATGGACGCGCTTGTTTTATAAAAGGTTCCTTCATGTAATGATCTGCTAGAGGGTGTGGGGGGGGGCCACAGCCCCATCCTCCAGGGCATGAAGCAGGTATGGAGGAGATCAAAACTCCAGACATCCAGAGGCCCCCAGAACACAAGAGACCAAGGAAGACCAACAGAGGGGCAGCCGCGCCACTGTCCCAGAAAGAGCTGAGGAGAGTCCCAGATGAGGGCTCACTCAGCAGCCGCGGAGCAGAAGCCAGGGGGAGTTGCAGTGACGCGCCCGTGAGCTCCGCCGGCAGCCAGCCGTGCCTGAGTGACCGAGCCCCAGGCCGAGAGGCCGGGGGCACCCCACCTCCGAAGTGGCCCGAGCGAGCCCCAGGCTCCAGGCCCCGATAAGCGGCCACCAAGGAGTGAGCCGGTGTGTACCTGGACGCCCATCCCCGGACACAAAGAACCACCAACGCACCGATGTCTGAGGGAGTCCGCCACCGGCAGGGGAAGTGGTGGTGGGGGGAGATAGGCCTCCAAACCTTGGAGGGCCTAAGATGTCCCCAGAGAGGTGGCGCCCGACACCCAACCTGACATATAGACACAGAAATACAGACACACACATATACAAACATCCATTCCCACCCTCATGCTCTCATATACACTTACTCCACACTCAACCAACGTGGAGACAGACATAAAGAGACGCTGTACACACGATCACACTCCCCAAGCGTACTCTACAAACCGGGTCTAGGTACCCTTGCCCCTGGAGGGGGGAACTGCACCCAGACCAAGGTGGTGTTACCCTTTTCCCTGCAGTGGGGAGAGGCAGACCGCCCCGACTCCGCAGCAGCAGGAAGGCCCCACACTCCAGACCGCAGTCGGACGGCCAACTCCTCCTCCTAGCCCCCCCGCTCCAGCAGGTCGCAGAGAACGGGGGTGAGAGAAGACTCCAAACCTCCCTCCACCCGCTCATTGTAGTGTTGATGCATGTGTGTTCTAAGGTGCAATTAAAACCCAGGAGGGCATGGAGCTACCTGCCAGAGAGCAGCAGGTAAGCGCATGGTCCCTCCTGCTAGCCCTCAATGTCTACGTGTATTCAAAATTGAGAGGTGGGCAACGACGCCAGGGGTGGGGTGTACACCCTGATGGTAATTTGGACTCCGTGTATCATGCCCACCCCCAAGATCCTATATGTATGTGTAATGAGAGTGTGAGTAATGTGAATGTCTAAGTTGTGGGATAAAATTGAGGCAGAGGCAGCCAGAAGGGGACAGAGGGGGGGGTAGCCTCCTCTGCACCCTGGTGACAACCACCCTGCATGTGTGAGTGGTTGTGGTGGAGCGGGAAGAGGGAGGCAGCTGGAGATGGGGAGGGAAGGAAGGGAGGGGCAGGTGACCCCTCCCTGGGGCCAGCTCCCCCGCTGACCCCAGTAGGCACTCCCATACTCCGCGACCCGCCAGGGAAAGGGGGCCCAGGCCCATCCAGACCGGGGCCCAGCGCAGCAGCGCCTCCCGGCCCCACAGAGCCCGGGACAGTCCACCCAACCCCACCACAGAGAAAACTGCACCCACCCCACCATCCAGTCATCTTCCAGACTACATAAGACAATAAACACCCAGGCTGAGATCTTCCTCCACCTCTCCTGTATCTCCCCCTCCTGCAGAGAGAGCCCCTGAGGAGAGGAAAGCTCCTGCAAGATGTGACAATCTTCCCCACCAGTTGAAGAGCCCGCCCAGGTGGCTCGATGCACCGGCGGCACCCTGCTCCCGGGCTGGGCCCCCATGCACCCACCCGCCCACAACCCTGGCAACACACCAACCAGGACCCAAGCCCCCGAGGCCCGGCCTGGGCCCCAGCCCAGAGACGGAGCGCCCCCAGAACCTCACGCCCATCCCGGACCCACCCAGGGGCAGCCAGGCTACCAGGTCAGTAACCCACGTCCGTCAGCACAGACCCTCCCCTAGCCCCGCTGCACGCAGCCGCGAGGAAACAGTCACCCGAGAGCCAAAAGAGCCCCCACCCGGACATGACCGCTACCCCGGGTTGAGCCCCCCAAGGAAAATGCCTCCGGGGAACCCCCCGACGCCCTAAGCCTGTCCCTACCCCCACACCAATCACAACAGTGAAGGCGGGACCAAACTATGACCCCCCACCCCCACTAGGTGAAGGAGCTGATCAAAGGAGCCCAGAGCAATTGATCTGATGTGGTGGCAGAGGCTGTATCAAGACTAATGTAATCTAATAGATAATTTCTATATTGGTTAGAATTAAGATTATTTTTATTTTTCCAGTTCATGAGGACTGTTTTCTTGGCTATACATAGGGCAGTGAAAACCATATGGGCGATATTCTTTTCTGAAGTGACATTATCTAAGCTGCCCAACAAACACACTAAGGGGGAAGTTGGAATGTTACATTTCATTTCAATTCAATTCAATTTTATTTATATAGCGCCAAATCACAACAAAAGTCACCTCAAGGCGCTTCATAGATACAGAGAAAAACCCAACAATCATATGACCCCCTATGAGCAAGCACTTTGGCAACAGTGGGAAGGAAAAACTCCCTTTTAACAGGAAGAAACCTCCGGCAGAACCAGGCTCAGGGAGGGGCGGGGCCATCTGGTGTGATTGGTTGGGGTGAGAGAAGGAAGACAGGATAGAAGACATGCTGTGGAAGAGAGACAGAGGTTAATAACAGATATGATTCAATGCAGAGATGTCTGTTAACACATAGTGAGCGAGAAAGGTGACTGGAAAGGAAAAACTCAATGCATCATGGGAATCCCCCGGCAGCCTATGTCTATTGCAGCATAACTAAGGGAGGATTCAGGGTCACCTGGTGCAGCCCTAACTATATGCTTTAGCAAAAAGGAAAGTTTTAAGCCTAATCTTGAAAGTAGAGATAGTGTCTGTCTCCTGAATCCAAACTGGAAGCTGGTTCCACAGAAGAGGGGCCTGAAAACTGAAGGCTCTCCCTAACATTCTACTTTTAAATACTCTAGGAACAACAAGTAGGCCTGCAGAGAGAGAGCGAAGTGCTCTAATAGGGTGATATGGTACTACAAGGTCATTAAGATAAAATGGGGCCTGATTATTTAAGACCTTGTATGTGAGGAGCAGGATTTTGAATTCAATTCTGGATTTAACAGGAAGCCAATGAAGGGAAGCCAAAACAGGAGAAATATGCTCTCTCTTTCTAGTCCCTGTCAGGACTCTTGCTGCAGCATTTTGGATCAGCTGAAGGCTTTTCAGTGGGTTTTTTGGACATCCTGATAACAATGAATTACAGTCGTCCAGCCTGGAAGTAATAAATGCATGAACTAGTTTTTCAGCATCACTCTGAGACAGGATATTTCTAATTTTAGAGATGTTGCACAAATGGAAGAACGCAGTCTTACATATTTGTTTAATATGTGCATTGAAGGACATATCCTGGTCAAAAATGACTCCAAGGTTCCTCACAGTGTTACTGGAGGCCAAGGTAATGCCATCCAGAGTAAGAATCTGGTTAGATACCATATTTCTAAGCTTTTCAGGGCTGAGTACAATAACCTCAGTTTTATCTGAATTAAGAAGCAGAAAGTTAGCGGCCATCCAGGTCTTTATGTCTTTAAGACATTCCTGCAGTTTAACTAATTGGTGTGTGTTATCTGGCTTCATGGACAGATAGAGCTGGGTGTCATCTGCATAGCAGTGTAAATGTATGCTATGTCTTCTAATGATGCTGCCTAAGGGAAGCATGTAGAATGTAAACAGAATTGGTCCTAGCACTGAACCCTGTGGAACTCCATAATTAACCTCAGTGTGTGAAGAGGACTCTCCATTTACATGAACAAACTGGAGTCTATTAGATAGATATGATACAAACCACTGCAGCACAGTCCCTGTAATACCTACAGCATGTTCTAATCGCTCTAATAGGATATTATGGTCAACAGTATCGAACGCTGCTGTGATGGAGTAATGCTTTGACTACTAGGCTAGTGAGAAAACTATATAGCCACTACTAGAGCCAGCTGATCAGTCATAGGGAAACTGCTAAATGGCCAAAGACAGTATACCTGTTTCATATCAAGCTCGGCTTGGGTGTATCTTCTGCTGCTGGCAGACAGCTGGAGCAACAAAGCTGTGACAGGATACGTCTGTAGTTGGGGTAAAAAATAAAAAAACAAAACTTTTACAGTAATTTATCAAAAAAATTCCACCAGAAAGGAGATTTATCTAGGAAAGCCACTGATTCCCTGATTTCTAAAAAATCTCTTTTATTGATCAAACCCGTCAAACCTTGACCACAGTATCTACTTACATTTTATATATTTTGGGTAATGACTTAAGCTTTTATGTAACTTCTTGTAGATGTAAAGAGGCAGTCCACAAACACATGGGAAATCTATTTTCAACACCATGGACAATGCCGCTGCTTCATAATCATTTGGATGCTGGTCAGGCTGACACGAAAAATGCACTGAAATACATCATCCCCTCTTCATCCTGCTAAAGCGAGCAGCTAGTCAATACTGGCAATGTCAAGAAGAGGAAAATAATGCAGTGCGCCCACAGTTTGTTATCAAATGACAACATTTGAGTACGAGCCGGGTTAGTCTGGAAGCTCGAGGCATTGCGAGTGGTTTGTGACACCGCACGGCTCCTCCTGTCCACACAGGGCATGGAGGGCTGATTAAGGGCATTTAAGAGATCGGCCTCCTCTGTGAACTGTGTTGAGACTATTTCTGTATAGAATATGCTGCTGGCATTCAGACTGGGCTCAGAGTTTTTAGCTTGGCAAATGAAAACCCGTGCTTAACAGTCCTCTTCCTTCCTAATCCCCCCCCCCATAACTTGGCTACATCACACCCACTCCCCAAAATATCCCTACTCCAGGCATCTTCTGCTCACTGTCTGCACCGGGCTCAGTTCTCGGTGCAACGCCGGCATGTGTTATCAAAAGAAATTTGGTTTTTGTGTTTCTCCCCACATCTTTTCAAATCAAATATGCTTGTGTGTTTTCTTCTTCTATTTAGAGCTTTACCAAGAATCTTTAGCTTTATTTTTTTCTGCATGAGAAAAACAATGTCTTATTTTTCCTGCACGACACTAACACTCACTCCAGTGAATTCAAAGAACGTTTCGCCAAACCCTGAGAGCATGCTTTCGATGGTTTCATCTTTATCTGCTGGCGTCTTCAGCTCAATAAAAATCTGGCAAATTTGCATGCAAGATCATAGATTTTCAGTTTGGAGTGAAGCCGGTGCAATCTGGAATCTCGACTGCTGCAGTTTCATTAATGGAGCAATGCACTCCGCCTGTCAGTATTTATACACGGTGCTCAAGAGGCTCCCGATGGCTCAAACAGAGAGTCATGCCGAGCAGCAGAGAGTAAAAGTCTCCACTTAAATTCCTGAAGCATTTCTCTTCATCATTAACTGGTCACACTTCAGTAACTCAGCTCTGAACTAATCTGAGCTGCCTGACCAAGACTAACTTCAAACTCGGTCAGGCTTTTTGCAGTCATTAGCTGCTGGAACGGCATTCAGATGTCTGATGACTTGGTCTGCAAACCTGAGAAACAAACAAACTTGGAGAGTTTTTGTGCTTAAAATAAGAAATAATAATTCAGTATAAAATGCTGGATTGTATTTTACATTACAAATACTCGTATGGGATTACAGCAGCCCTATTTTTTTTAATGTACAGGACACTGTTAGCAAGTTTGTTTGGCAAGCAAAAGGTCGATTGGTTCACTTCCTGCCAGAGATACAAATACCCTGAAGGGTGTTAGTGTGTAAAAACATCCAAGGCCCCCCACTGGGTGACCCCCCTAAATTCAGACTTCATGTTATGCTCACTTCATGCAGAATTCTAACATTTCTTACACTTTAATTTGTTGCCCCCAAAGCTGCGTCTACACAGGGCCCAATTCACTCGTCATGCACGACTTTGAAGCTAGTTCACTGGTGAACTTTCCACGCTCATGTGGAAAACATTTTTAAACCTTTTGAGCTACTCATTTCTCAAACAGGAAGTGAGGAGCCCTGGTCCTTCCTCATGTTTTCCTACCAGCTGAGTTGCTGGTGAGGTCACTGTTATGATGATCTTTTCCATCATTCAGCCGTTTGAGTCTTTCATTCCACCCAAGTAGGGACGGCTCAACTTCACTGATGGAGCCACTAACTTTTAAATTACACCAGCGAACTCTAAAGCGCAATATCAGAACATCGATTTGTGAACCGAATCCCAGCAGAAACCAGCTCATGCAGCTCGTGAGCGGGACACACGCTGGCCCACCAAAGAAAGTTAATGTTTTGGAACGGCTGAGTCAAACCTGAAGGTTCGCACAGAGCTTGCGTGAGGAAATCCACCAATATTCCAGCTGAATGTAGAAATCAATACCTATTATCCATTAACTACTTCTACAAAAGTTTCTATAAGAAGTACAACACCATTCCCTTCAAAATAAACACTACCCACAGAGTGAGCTGCCTTGGTGGAGGATTGTGCTCTCCTGCCTCTCTCGTGCTTTTGTTTAGCCTGTGTCCAGTCTTTAGACTTGTATTCAGGGTTCAGAGTTTATGTTATATTCATGCAAAAAGCGTAAATGTTCACCAGCACCCTCTGTTCTCTCCAGTAGATTGGTACATTTTATGGGAGATTGGCACTCATCGTGTTGATTTCTTAGATTTTTTTATGAAAGTTTTTTTTCATTATTTTCTCCTAGTATCCTATTTATAAATGCAGAGTGACACTTGAGTAGAGAGACCTAAATTACTTTTGCTGAATGCAGCGCTACAGTAATTACAAAAACAGCAGTTTTAGACCTAACCCAAGCCTCTGGGTGTTTAAACTGTGGTACTTACCTTCTTACAAAATACAGTAGTGTTATGATCTTACACGAGTGTCTCTCAAGATGCCACTCTGTAGCCCTTATTATTTATTAGAGATGGATTTTTGATTTCCTATCAGATATTGTGAAAAGGCTGCAGGTCTCTGTCATGTTCAAGGAGCCTTAAAATGGATCAAGGCCGAACGTGGAGCATCGATCACAAGAGGTGTCATCTCTGCCTTCGCTTTCATTGATTGTCACTGTCAGAGCTGTTTGGGTACACCCTCAGGAAATGAACACAGTCATCGTGGACCGTGTGTGTGTGTGTGTGTGTGTGTGTGTGTGCGTGCGGTGTGGTCGTCACAAGCATGTGTGCGCATGTTTAGTCCCTCGCAATACCTGTCTTTGTGAGTAATTAAAATATACCACCAGAGATGTGGCATTTGTCATCCTCCCAGATTGTCAGCGTTTCGGGCGGTGCTAAAGTGGTACGTTTTTTTGTCAGGGAAAAAGCACTCATCACAAAATTTGGATTTAAAAAAAACAGACAGAGAGAGATAGAGATGCATTATTCTTGACTGAAAGTGTTTAAGTAGCTCAAAAAGATTGACGGGCAGGTCGGAGACACCAAGAGCTGTCAAATGACCACTGTTCTCAAAGCAGCCGGTCCTTTTCACTTCACACCCACTCGGTTTGAGCACATTTTATGTGTCAAAGTCTGGATTACACAGGCACAACTGATGGATCACAGTCAGCTGTCCTTTCGCGTGCTAGCTTTTTACTATTATGGGGTTTGAATGTCCTCTTTTACCATTTTGAACACTACACCATTGCAGTGAGAGTACAACAATGAGGTTTTTACTCTGGACCTGATGCTAATATTGGATATTTGCAGTAAAATATCCACAGCAGCCTTGACTGTTGACATGCATAACCAATCAAAGTGACGAGGACTACCCTGCTGGCCCTGCTCTAGCGTCCACTCATTCTGAGGTCTGTTTTTCTCTGTTCCCGATGCTTTTCCCAGACCGACAGGCACAGCCCGCTGCTAGGCGTACGCTCTCGTCCCTCTCTGGACAGCGGGAAGATGAGAGCATCAGTCAGGATGACCCGATACCTGGAGTCCTGGGGAGCTGCCAAACCTTTCGCCAATCTCCACCATCGAGACAGCATGACCACAGACAACGGCAAAATCAACACCAGAGTGAGTGTTGCTCTTTCTCAGATGCGAACACAAAGGTTCAGATATGACTTACTCATGGTCCGATTCTTCTTTCAGGACGTTCCGATGGGCCAGTACCACTTCCAGATGAGACGAGAAAGGTTAGCAAGCGGCATATTTATGACACGTGATCGCTCCGCCCTCAGGACAGTTTATTCAAGCAGTTACACAGAACCACTTTTATCCTGCTTATGTATCAGTTCTTTCTGTCACTCACTTTAAACCCAGGTCCAAATCCCAGAGGAGGAGGTTTGAAGAAGAACTCAATGAACGGATGATTCGCACCATTGACGGCATTAACTCACAAAAGTAAGTAAGCGCTGTGTCCGCTGCATTATCTAGTTCTGCTTCACATTTCTGAAGTCAGTCTGCAGTCAAAGAACGTCATCGGATTCAGGGCCGAAGTGACAGATGCAGATGAAGGTCTGTTTTTTTTAGTCATGTTTTATGATTTAAATATGATGAAGCAGTCTTTAATGCACTGATGAATAATTTTAAGTAATATATGATGAAGGAAAAAGGAGACGATTACAGCACTAAGCAGATAAATCTAAAGTAAAGTAAGCATTTATAAGAAAAAGCACCTTTGGGATATTGTTTCAAGCAAGTAAAAAGACCCTCCCATGAGAGGTATAACAATAGAAATACTGTATAATACAGTGCAGTGAAAAAGTATTTTCCTTTTCCCAATTTCTTTGTTTTTGCTCAAAGATAACCTGAGTAAATACAAAAATTAATTTTTCTTCTTGAAGGGAAAACAAAGCTATCCAAATGTACTTTGCTCCGTGTGGAAAAAAATACCCTATGTGTATTCTCGAGAAGTGGAGTGGGTGTCCTCAGAGTGTCCTCAGAGAGTCATTCTCAAAAATGAACCCTGTCTTCAGGATGTTCTCCAGCGCTGTATACATGTGTGTGCAGTTGGTGAAAGTGGCTCTGGTGTATCACAGGGATAGAAAAGCTCTTTATAAATGGAGTTCTTTTCCCATAGTAGTACACAATTGTGTAGTTGTCACTACATTCACCGTACAGGTGAAAGATCCTCAGTTCAAGACTCAGAGGAGACACAAATCCGGCCTCAGGGGAGTCATGAGCTGGTGTAGTCTTAGTGCTGGTCATACCTCGCCCAGGAGGGCTGAATCAGGAAGGACATCCAGCGTAAAACTGTGCCAAATCAAACATGCGGACCCATCCACTGTGCCCACCCCTTGGGAAATAAAGGAAGTGGGCTGCACCCCTAACTTCTGACCTCAGCAATATCAAAATGGATGAGTTGTAAAACCGAAGCTCACACACTCTTCAGCTGTTATGTGGTTGGGACGTGCATTATTGTTCTATACATAGCCGTTGGCACATTGTGACATGTAATATTGTTTTTCCGCGCCAGCTGATTTTATCTCTCACTGAGGATACAGCGACCATTAGTCATCCGGGGAATGACTTCTGGACTTTGTCTCACTTGTTGTCTCCAGACAGTGGCTGAAGTCTGAAGACATCCAGAGGATCTCATTGTTCTTTCACAACAAAGCCCTGGAGAAAGAGGTAGGCGACTGCATACAAAACAGCAGCCGGCATCGCTCGCTGGGAGAAACAAATCAATGCAACTGTGTGGGTATCGGTGGAAAAGAAGTTGTTATGCAGGCTATATAAGGCTTATAGAACACAGGGGTGTCCACTAAATATTCTATACTACACCTCTGACTTCAAATTTCCATGCTCGTCTCATCATTTGGAGATTACCACTATATTACACTAGTACACTATAGCTAGAGTGTCCTTTCCATTAAAACTGATTGTTGTTACTTCTTTTGTTTTACGCTACCTAAATTTAGAGTATCATTAGAAACCAGTATAAACTTGTAGGTGCTGAAAGTTGAAACCTGAATTCACAGCAATTACATGGTAAATGTTAAGCACTATCATTTTTTTCACACATCAATTCTAACTTGTTTGCAATGCATGTTTAGTGCTCGTTCTGACTCTGATTTCTGCACTCATGGTCTCGATCTTCTCTCTGCAGTACAGATCCACCACATTACCTGCCTTCAAGTACTACGTCACCTGCGCCTGCCTCATATTCTCCTGTATATTCATAGTGCAGGTCCTCGTCTTGCCCAAGTAAGTCTGTGCCAGTCTTACAGGGTTTACGCGAACTCCAGCTGTGACAGCAGGGCTGATGTGAAAAAGCCATTTGACGCCAGCTGTCTCATCAACGGGCACCGCGCTGAAATGAAAGAGGCAGGGGAGCAAGAGGCGGAATGTTAAAAAAGGCGATGGAGATGAAAGGGCAGCGTGTCTGCTAGTGATTATAGATCAGGTGAATCAAAGTGTGGCGTCTCTTTAATAGCGGGGAGAGAGAGATTCGCGGTCATGCTAATTTACTGCTTCTGGGAGCCAAAAGTGTAATTCAGCATCTGAGAGGCCATTGATTTTCTAATTCAGCCGTCTCACCCTCTTTACCTTTGCTCTGTTTGCTGCAGCATCGCGTCGCACATTTTAGACGTGACATCATCAGTTTTATGGCAGGCGTCCTTAAATCAGCCGTTACCGTGTTACTCCACAGGAAAACTGAAACATGAGCAAACCTGTTTTTGAGCCACACGATCCATGTTATTCTGCCTTAGTGTAAACGAACTGCAGGTCTGAGGCAGAGTACATTAAAAGTTCTGTGATATTTATTGGCCTGGATGGCACTTTAAAAGGCTGAGAGGTGCCAAGAGACTAAAGAGTAATGTGTGTGTGTCTGTGTGTGTGTTGCAGAACTGCTGTGCTCGGGATCTCCTTTGGGATGGCATTCCTGTTATTGGCTTTGATCCTGCTCCTTTGCTTCGCTGGTCACATTCTGGTAGGTTCAAATACACACAGAAAAGCATGTGCAGACTCAAAGAAACCCCAGTTTTAATAAACATATGCACAACATAACCCTAAGATGGCCTGTTTAATAAGTCTGTGCCCCAGTTTTGATGAGTTAACTTCTAGTATGTCATTAGTCTGTTACTTAGCACTAATTAGCCAGTATCGCTGTCTGTATATGGCGTCAATACAGCTTCGCGATGTGTCTTATTAACCTAGTTTGCTAGTGGTACCTGATAACGCTCCACCAGAATCATAGACTGTATGTAAATGATGAACACAGTGGTTTTACCATTGGTTTCTCAACCCTACAACTTGAAGCTACTATTTATATTTTTGTGGAGCCAGAAATACCCATTTTCAGATGACAGTTGGGTGGTGTGGTAGGTTATTAGCAAGCTGGGTTAAAATGCTTCATTCTTAAACTATGCATGCCTTCTAAAAAGTGCTCAATAACACTAATAAATACTAGACTTGTTTTTAGTGTACGGCAAACTTCTTGGACAGGCTGTACCTCAGAACATGTTCGGTTTAAATGTTCAAATAGGGACCAATCAGACTGTGAACTTGTTCATTTCATAGCTGAAGTTGTGGTGAGAGTCTGTGGGTATGAGCTCACTTTTACAGTTAGCCCCAAGTGGCCATTTAAGGAATTGCAGCTTTTGGGATCTCAACATTGGCCAGAGGTTGATGTTTGGTGTAAAGCTCTAACTATGCTATATAAATTTACGAGCCAACTTTGATTAGGTACCCCAGTTCAGCTTCTCATTAACACAAATCCTGAATATGTCAATCAAATGGCAGCAACTCAGTGCGCTTAGGCTTGTAGACATGGTCAAGACGGACTGCTGAAAAATGATTTGCCTGTGCCAGAGGTCAGAGGAAGGAAATAGTAACTCAAATAACCACTCATTACAACCAAGATATGCAGAAGAGTATCTCTGAATACACAAGATATCAAACCTTGAAGCCCGTCTGGTCTGATGAGTCTCGATTTCTGCTGTGAGATTCAGATAGTAGGGTCAAATTTGTCATAAACAACATGATAGCTTGGATCCATCCTACCTTGTATCAGTGGTTCAGGCTGTTGGTAGTGTAGTGGTGTGGGGGATTTTCTTGGCACACTGAGCATTGACTGAGTATTGTTACTGACCAATGACTCCTCCCAGCAGAGTAACGCACCATGTCTCAAAGCTCATATCATCTCAAATTGGTTTCTTCAACATGGCAATAAGTGCATTGTACTCAAACGGTCTTTCGGTTTAACAGATTCCTTTGGGAATTAGTGGAACAGGACATTCTGCTCATGAATGTACAGCTGACAAATCTGCAGCAGCTGTGTGATGCTATCATGTCAATATGGGCTAAACTCTCAGAGGAATGTTTCCAGCAACTGATTGAATTAGTGCCACGAGGAATTAACCAGCCTGGTCCTACCCACACGTAACTATGTTTTATATATACAGTAAAACGACAATGTTTTTTGCACTTACTACCTCCTACATAAAATGTATCTCTATAAATAACAGTGTAATTAGATCCTTTATACTTGAGAGATGGTTGATTATGAGAAAAGATTAACAGATGTTCAGCAGAGGAACAGCTGCTATCATTACATGTGAGGAGTATACGAGCTAATCCACTCTTTTGTTCTCCTTCATAAATTAGCGCATGCATGAATTCCCTGCTACAGCTAGCTTTCCAACATAAGTATTGGTTTGGGTATTGTTTTCAGTCAGCCACAAGAAGCTGACACAGGATTTATGGACAATCAATAATGGTTTCTCCCTTAAGAACCCATTTCCTTGTCCTCCTTTCTCTAGAGAGTATTATCACACAATAGACGTGGGTCACTTCTAGTTAGTGGGGAGATATCAATAACTGTGGGTCTCTCCTGACCTAGATATTCAAAAAGGAAAAATAAGGAGAGCTTAAGTTTGATGAGTTTGCACTAACCGTGATTTTAACAGTCAATATGTTCCCAGTTAAAGCTGCAGTGGTCACGCATGTGACTAATGAGAAACCTTGCATGCTCTGTGTGCTTTGGTTCCGTGCGCCCGGTTGGGTTTGTGTAAGTCATTATTAATGGGGCATATAATAGCTAAAGGACATGTTCCATTCATCTGTGAAAGAGTGCATTACACGGTTATTGTGATCAAACACATTTCTTGGAAAATGTCTTTTCAAGTCAGATGAGCTAAGCTCACCATTTCAGCCAGAGTAGGTGTTTTTTTTGTTTGTTTGTCACTGCTGTAGTGTCGCAAAATACAAGGACACAAAACAAAGCATGTGTGAACATACCGTCCGGAAGGGTGACAAATCAGAAACTAGCCGGCAAACTAATATACACTTATATAACTTACTTTAGATCATATATCTGCCTGAGGTAAATTGCCAAATTTCTTTTATTTGTCAGCTTAAATGTATCATTTGATATATGCTGAAAGTGTCCCGAGGACACGGAACTATAGTAGTGTGGTTAAATTGAGCACAGAAAAAGCACAAAATAATGTTTCTCTGACAAAAGCTACAATTTGAAAAGACCTGAAAAGTTGGGGGGGTTTTTTCTTAAGAGGAGACGATAATTGTGTTGGATTTATTCTAGTATAAGCATCACTGCTTTGTCAAACAGATGCCCCATTGTCAAAATCCCCCTCCCTCCTCCTGGTATTGAATCCTCCATCTGAACAGGCCTCAGAGAAATCAATGTTACTCTGTATGGCAGCCAGGGAGGACAATGTTCTTGAGTAGCTTTCTTTTTCCCCTGCCAGGCTTGTTGAGAAGTTCAAATTATTATGTTATTATCCACATCAGTCTTGATTTTTCTTGGGTCTATAGGGCAAAGAATAGACTTAATAGTATCCTACCTGGGTTAAATAATTCCATATCTAGCCACGCTGATTAAGGATCATTATTAATCCTCTTAACTATTTAATAAAACTGCTAGACCTCTCTCTTTTTGTAGCTTATCCTTTTATTAATGCTAGTTTCTGCTTGTTCTAAAGAAATAAACCAACTGATTGGTTTTCTGCTCTTGTTACGAATCAGGTTTGGGGTTGCCATTTGAAAACGAAGCCTTAGTAGAGCTTTCGTTGCATGTAAAAGCAAGCCCAACGTAGCCAATGGCAGCATTATTCCCTGTGTATGTACATGGGGATGACAGTTGGTCATTAGTGGGCACTCCAGGCTCTGCTTGCATAACCCTCTAATGTACTGTGTGCCAGAGCAGAGTGGATAGAAGTCTTTCAAAGGCCTTTACTGCATCTAAACTTATTATTAGACATGCACTGATCAATAAGCCGGTGATTGGAACAGGCTGGTGTCCAGTCGGCCTCTAATTTACACACATCTGTTCCAAAACTGCCACAGTTTGAAATGCACCAACCTAGAAGGTGATAGTGTTAGAACAGCATGAATGAGTATGTGTGAAGGCAACACTGGCCTCAGTGAGGGATCTGGCAAAGGGAGCCTTTATCAGAGGAATCATAACACATCTCCAGATAAGGAGGTCTTTCTCTCTCCCCCATCCCCAACTGTTCGTGGTAGATGTGTGCGTCTGCCTGAGCCTGCTTGTGCCAGAGGTTTCTTATTGTTTAAAGGGAGTTTTTCTTTCCACTGTCGCCAAGTTCTTGCTCTTGTGTTTGTCTGATTGTTGGGATTTCTCTGTATTATTGTAATGTCTTTACCAGACAGTATTATGCACCTTGAGGTGACCATTGTTGTGATATGGTGCTATACAGATAGAACTGAATTGACCAATAAGTTCTGACTATAAAATAAAATCCCATATGTTTGGATCTATTGCTGTTTATCATTTAGCTCAGGTCACTGGTAAAACTCATTATTAATACCATTTAGTTGTTTTTTGCATGCATTAAGATGTCTGTGAGTCTTGCCTCCTGTTTACTTGTCTCATAATATATTTACATTGCATATTACCGTATATTACAATATTACTGCACTCTACTGCCGGGGTCCAACCCCTGGGCCTTGGACCAGTACCGGTCCGTGAGTCATTTGGTACCGGGCCGCGATAGTTGAGGCTTGGCCGTGAAATTTATGGTTTTCAGGGTTTCATCGTGATTTTTTATCGTTTTTATCGTTAACTCGGTTTCCAGTGTGTTATGAATAAATCTCTTTTTTTTGGGTACCGGTACTGGTTTTATTTTGTTATATTTATTCGTGACACCTTAAAGACCGGTCCTTGAAAATACTGTCGGACATAAACCGGTCCGTGGCGCAAAAAAGGTTGGGGACCACTGCTCTACTGTATATTACATTCTACCACATATGCAAATTTAATACACTGCTCAGCCTTCTAAGTAAAAGAGAGTCCAAAGATGGTCCTGCTGCCAGCATTACCTTCATATTAACAACAGATGGATGTGTAGCATGCAACTTTTCCAGTTCAGAGATCTTTCTGTTTTCTTTGAATTCCGCACACTAATTATTCCTATATCACAAGACACCACATGGGAATGAATGACCTTCTTGAACTTGTGCCATGTGCTTGCTGTAGCTATATCTTTATGCCTTAGGAATCATCTACCCTGGACTGTATATAAATAAAATAAATGTGATGTTTTAAATATACTGTTTTCCAGCTTACAGTATCATTTTTAATTAATCCCCAGAGGAAAGCAGTGTTTCTGTTTAGCACTCCCACTCCCTGTTTCCTTACCTTCATGTCATTCCCTCTGTTTCTTTGTATCCACAGCAGGGAAGGAAGGGGTCCTTCTGCTCTCTTACATGGTTTCCGACTTCTTCTCGCATCATCGTCACCAATAACCCCTGGCTGCGATTGGTCCTCACCATGACGACCACTGCTCTCGTGCTGGTCATGGCTGTCTTTAACATGGTGAGAAGCCAGTTTTAAATGTTGTGAATGTGGTTTGACTGCTGGTTCTTGGAAGTGCTGCTGAAGCGTCAGATAACTGTGCCGTGCATTTTCTGATAAAAGCTGCAGTAGCACAGCGGATATTTATATGATTTGGTTTGAATAGACTGCACCAATACTGGCTTAAACTTTAACTTTTTTTTTTTTATAATGCTGTTTATTCTCACAATTGGTTACATTGATAAAGTGTACAAATCAGTGAGCAGCAAACGGAAGCAGACACATCCATCAGTGGGAAATGGATAGTGTATATATATGTGTGTGTGTGTGTGTGTGTGTGTGTGTGTGTGTGTGTGTGTGCGCGCGCACGCTGTTTATGTGCAAGACTGACAAGAGATGCAAGGAGTCCACTGCTGCTACAATCTTCCTCCTCACCCTCCGGTCAGCGGTTCAGACGGAGCAGTGGACTCCCAGCTCTCGGTACACTGTAGAGGTGAAGATATAGGCCATAACCTGCTGTGTTCTGCAAAGCGGAGCTTGTTGTAGCGTTGTGACTTAACCGGGGACTGAGACGATGACAGCCATGAGACTTTACTTGCCCCAACTAATAAAAATCAGTATATACCTTTTATAAAATAGAATAAATAAAATAAAAAATATTTCTGTTCAATACATACAGTCTCTCTCTCTCTCTCTCTCTCTCTCTCTCTCTCTCTCTCTCTCTCTCTCTCTCTCTCTCTCTCAGCCATCCCAGAGCATGCAAGGCTTTTCATGACTTTCCATTTCTCCAGATCAAAAGAATGCATAGATAATTGCTAAGTTAAATTCAGCATCAACTTAACTGCCAACTGTGAGCGCTTCCGATCGCCTCCGTGTTCATTATTTGCTCTCGTATTTTTCTTTATGTACAATGTATATCAGTATTTTACACTTTGGCCATTTGGTGAATTTTGAATTTTCAAAAAATAGAAAAGAAAAAAAGGCATTTCATTAGAGGAAAATAACAATAATACATTTAAAGAAAGAAAAACATAGCTTATAACGATGATTAATGCCAAATGTTACATGAAATCGGTATTATGTACACAAAGTTTTTGTCATCTCGTTCACATTTCAGCATCCTTGTGACAAAAGAAGAAATCATCTCCGTTACTAAAATAGTTTCTTTAGGTTCCCCCGTGGAGCCAACAGACGAAGTGCAAGACAACATGCTGACCGTTAGCTAAGCCCCCCCCCCAAGTTACTGCCTCAGCCCCTGTCAAGCATTTCTTTGTTTTTTAGGGCAGCAGCCACTTATTTATCACAGAAATGTGACGCAGCACAAACAAAAACAACAAAACAAAAACAGGCAAAGACGAAGCCCGGGAATCTCACAAGTCTCACCGGTGACTTCAACTCAGCCTCCTAGTAGATGTACCTAGTTTGAAACTCCTATGTCGCCTCGTTCTCAAGTTATCGCATTTACAAGATTTCCTGACCTTGAGGTCAGAGGTTAACATTTTTATGTTGTTTTTTGTGCACTGCAGACTATGTCAAGTTGAAATAAATCAGTGCTGCAGACAGAACAGCAGAAAAACAGTTGCCACGGGGTTGCAATCAAACCTTCTTAATAGTAACAATAATTTTAACCACTTGCTACAACTGACGTTTACCAGTGTGTGCTTTTATAAATGAAGCTTTTGGGGAACTTTATAACTACATTGAATTTTCTTCAGTAATCCAGATACAAGTCTTGTCTCAAAATCAAAGGTCAGAAAAATGTCCTTACACCTTAAAAGGCAAGTAGATCAATGGAAGTTTAAAACTTATAAGTGGGAGAAACAGGAATACTTCTCTAAGAGCAATCAGAGGTTTTGAAATGAGGTTAATGCCCTTCCTGTGGAAAGGTGTTTTAAGGAAACTGGTGAACCTGATCATGTGGTCGACATAATGGATTCTATGAATACCCAGATTGTTTCGAAGAGGGAAATGGTGCCCACAGAGCATAAACTGAACCTTAATGGTCATTCCTGAAAGATAATCGTGCATAACATAAACATAAGCCAACCCAAAGTCATCCCCCACCAAGGTCTTCAAGGTCAACTTAATGATTTAGTGGTTGAAAATTGAACAATTGATCAACATATCTAAAGTATCTTACAATATGGTATCTTAAATATCATGTCACATTTGATCACTAACCTCTTCTTCAAGGTCAATAGATTGATCCGAAGGTCAGAGTGATAATAATACGACACAGAGCTATTTAAAACTATGTTTCTTACTGCCATTGTTTGTATTGACAACATATGGGCATATAGGGAATGTGAATATGTGGGGATTCTAAATATCACATCACTTTGAACCTTTGACCTCGTCTTCAAGGTCAAATAAGGCCAAACTTTGATAAAATGCCTTTAATTTTTAAAACTGTGATTAAAACTCTTCTGCCTTTGTTTGTGTTGGCAACATTTAGGATACGATACTCATTATGGGAATTATTCCATTAAAGTAATGCATTAAAGTCTGCATCCAAATATCATGTCACGTTTGACCTCTGACCTCACTTTTACATGTCACACCAGCCATTCTTTCAAGTTGACCCAAAAATGTGTTTTTACTGCACTACAAATGTCTTAAATTATGTTTAGAAGGGACAACGAAAACAAAATGAGTATGCACAAAAGGCAGCACTATACTGCCCAGAGCATGGCAGAGGTTGGCACTCTCTGAGGTTTCCTTCCAAGGAATAAGACTTTACTGTAAATCTTTGACATTTTTCTTTGAACACTGGATGCTTTTTCACTCCCTTTCAGTCCAGTCCTTGTATGTCCTGGTGTTTTCTTATTGTTAAGTCTCCGTCTGTGTTAGGTGTTCTCATGTTTGGTCATTTCCTGTGTTATTTTGGTACTCTCTGTCTCATGTGGCTGTTCAGTTTTCTTTCCCCGAGTCTTGTTTCCCCCGTTTGTCTGCACCTGTGTGTTCCCTACAGCTGCCTCTAGTTCCCATTATTCCCTACTGTGTGTGCATATGAGCCCAATCAGGCCTTTCTCTTTTATCAGTAAATCTCTTTACCCCTCGCAGGGTGTGTCCAGTCTGCCTTAGATCCTGTTATTTACACTTGTAATATTTTCAGTCACTTTTAGTTTGGTTTTCCCTTCTTAAGCATTTTCAGTTAGTTCTGTTCCTGCTCTCCTTTCTTCCCCTAAATTTGTTACCCTTTATTTTTAGACTGTTTCAGCTGCCATTCAATAAAGGTATGCTTTAATTTCCATCTCACCTGCCTATGCTAAGTCTGCATTCAGGGTCCTGATCCACAACTCATGTCAATAAGCTTGTTAGACTTGTCTAAACTATAACCTGTATTTCAATAACAGAGAGATCACTTGGAAGAATTTGACATGATGTATTGAGATAGAAATTAATGTATTTAGTAATTAGACTCCAACCCAACATGTTAGAACAGAATCCCAACGGTGATAGGATTTAGGACAGGACCTCCCAGAGTCTAGACACTAGTGGTGGTGAAGAAAGTCTCAGAGAAAGAAAGTCTGAACATAAAGTGGAGGCTGATAGGCTCAAAGTAGGCAGGCGAGAAGATGATTGGAATAGAGTAATGATGTCATTATTTAGATTGACAGCGTGGGAACGCGGTACATAATGTCAACAGAAAAGCAGCCGAAGACCAATGAAAGCAGGCAGATGACTGATCACAGATCTTCCTTATTGAACTTACCCATGAGCTTCATTTCCATGTATGTTTGCACATGTCTCAATAAAGTTTCCTAGCAAAACATTAAGAAACTGGGGTTTCACAAGACTTTTTCACATCACTGTACACAAACATTAAAATGTGAGTACACAAATATATATATACACGTGAGCCTTTCACACTGTTACGATGGCCCAAAACAACCCACACAGGAGTAATGCACAAAGAAATAAAAATAACATAAAACAAGTCTGTGAAGAATAGCTTTTTCTCCCCCAAATTACACCTGAAACCTTCAACTCCTGGCAGCTAAATGTCATGTAGCTGCAGGCAATGTGAGTAATTAGAGAGCAAGAATACAGTTCCCGTGGCACACACAAAAAACTTGCTGTTTTATATCACTGGTGCACACTTTCTGCAAAAAAACAGGGACCGTCATTAAAATCTGGGTTTGTACTGTTCCACACAAAACTGGACTATTTCAGGAATTTCCCTTTAGTTAGTGCATTCAGCCTGTGTCAGTCAGCTGCTGTTCCTTTGAAAATTGTAGAAGAAATACACAAGATCAAAAATACACATTCATTATTTACTGTTTCTATTCTATTTTTACCCACTTGATTACACCACAGCAGCTGTGGAGGTCAATTGTACCACTGCTGAGGTTTTTCTCCCAAAAGCGATGGTTGTATTTTTTTAGTGTTGTGGTTTTCCATACAATATGTTGTCCAGGTCAAGCATGAGAGTCCCTGCTTATGGTGATTAAATGGGGGATTTCTTTCAAATGTTAAATAGACACGCTGTCAGTGTGAACAGCATCATTTGGCATGCAGCAGGAAACAGGCGTGAAATGTGTCACAGAATATGCGCATTACACATGTATGTTATACAATAACGATAAAGGTGAAATCTTTAAAGAATTTTACTGCCAAAGTGTAAAAGAATATTTCAAAAGCTTGAAATGTTTCTCTTAGAATGACTTCTGTTCAATGATGGAAACAGGAAATTCACTCCCAAGGCTACAATGTTTCACCGAATTAGAGATTAACTCTTGGAACTGATCCAGATTCACGCCTATAACGAAGAATGGAGATGTTTCAGAATGTGATGCTCATACATCAGATATGTTCACATATACTTATGAAACTGGAGGCTTTGCCTTTATTTTCTAAAGGAACTTTCATAAACTAATAGTCTTATTTTTGTGCATCTCTGGACTCAATTCGTGCATGATGTTGAGGTATGCAGGTGTCATACCATAGCAAAGTATTACACAGATCTTTGGTTAAAAATGTAGCTTACTTCAAGTTACAGTAATCTAATCCATTTATAATCATAATCAGGTTTGTGGGCTTGGTTCTATTTCTCATCATAAGAGAGTTTCTTTAAAAATGAATAGCTTCAAATAGCAATCAAAGTTGTTATCAGTATCTTTTTTTGGAATCACCTTTTTCGTGGTAAAATGCTATTTTATTCCTGTCAAAATGTGTGTAACCTTTGGCATTGCCATATTCATAGATTCAGCTAAAGTAATGGGAACAAATTATGTGTTTTTGTGACAGGCTGCTAAAAACATAGTGCCTAAAGATACAAATTAAATTGGTTCTTTGCTCAGTTGTCAGTTATGTGTAGAGAAAATAGAGCTTCATTTCTTGAGTTTGGCACGTTTTTATGCTTGAGTGATTCACTGGTCAGTGTTAAGTGCTCAAACACATCCCTCTGAAAATGGTCTGGCACCGGACTGGAGTGAAAAAGCAGCCAGTGACCAAAGAAAACCTTGGAAAGAGCTTTAGAAAGGCTAGAGACCCATGTGATGTGACTGACAGAAACTAATTTAGAAAAAAACTGATGTATTTGTTGATTGATATTTTTATATGGATTTGTATTGACAATGACATTGACGAAATGTCAACGCCTGACATGTTTTATTTTCTGTGTATTCTGCTTGGATCTCTTTTGGTTTTGTTAGTTTTTTGTGGAGGATCCTGGAGGACCTGTGGATGACATCCTGCCAACTGTGAATCTAACCAATAACAGCCAGCTGGACTACATGGTGGACAACACAGGCAAAAACAAGTTTTACCTGCCAGTAAGTACAGCAGTGAGAGGTCAGCAACATGACCTGCAGAGAAAGTACTGCGGCCATCTAAAATGACATCTAAACAAGCAAAATGAGACATCTGTGTCTCTGTGTTGTGTTGTGTTGTGTTGTGTTGTGTTCGTGTCCAGCTCTGTATCTTTTCTTGGACTCTAATAGAACAGGTGAGCCTTGGTGCAGCCCCTCAGTTCATTGTCTATCAGAAACGAGCTGTTTTAGCTGTGCTCCCTTTAAGGCAGCATTTGGGCCTCACAAAACTAAAAGTATCCCACATTTTTATCAAAGTATGCAATATAACTTATCAGTCACACAGCACATGCCATATTGGGTCATCTGTTGTTGATGTTCCTTTACTCTCTTTCAGTACTTTATCTACTGCTGTATACTGGGCTTGGTGTCATGCTCCGTGTTCTTGAGGATCAACTACGAGCTGAAGATGGTGGTGATGCTGGTCGCCGTGGTAATCTACAACATCATCATCCTGCAGACACATGCAACTCTACTGGATGGATTTAACAAAGCCTTATACCGCACAGATAAACCAGACAGGTACCTGCATGCACTCGTTCTCCCTTCTTCCTCCACACATCCTTTCTGCTTCATTATTTAGGAAATGATGAAATCATTTTTAGGCCAACTTTAGGTTAATATTATCTGTTTGAAACCCTCCATCACGCTGACCCTGCAGCCTGCTCACATCAGTAGAAAAGAGCTTATTAAAATGACTAATGAGACCGGACCACGGGGGAAGACTGATGCTGAGGCAGCGATATCCCATGTGACTGTCGATCAAGTGTAACCCCTGGAGATGGGGATGATGAATGGCAGCAGTTTGTGTTGATGGAGCTCAATTCACTTTTGACTGACAGCTAGAGTCTCACTGCTGACAAAATCCCATTATGCAAAAAGTTTCCAGGGCACCTAGAGAGACTGCGGAAAGAAAAAGTTTTTTTCTCAAGCTCATATTTCTCCTTTTGTTTGTCTTCTTCACCTCAGCTGTTATTAGCATGAAGACAATACTGCTTTTGCCAGAGCACGGAGGCAAGTAAATAAGAATAGCAATGAAGTGGAAAAACAAAAAAGAAACAGACCAGGGCTGACAAATAGTAATTTCCACTTTAGTATCTTGAAGGAGAACTTTAGTTGTACTGTCTGTGTTATAACAGGCACAGGATTACATATCCACAGGCTGTTGAGCTAGAAGCTACAGCTACTAATCATTGAAGTAAGTTGATAAATTTATAGTTCATGTATTAAAAATATAGAGGAGTGGGTGCAGGCTTTCTGCCGTTTTTAAATACAGTGGCCAGGAAGGATATCTCCCTTCTGACCAAATAGATTTTAATTATATGACTACACATCAGCCACATACAAAGTACGTTAGGAGAAGAGAGGGGAGGAGAAGGGAAGTTTTAGGCCTGGGCATGCTGTGGAGGCACATTTCAATTCATGCCTGCCCTTTTAAACTGCAGACATGAAATATTATACCTGTATTTTATCATCGGAGAAAGGGTCCCCTTTACCAAAAAAAGAAAGAGACAAGCAGTATTGATAAAATGTCATCTTGTTCCTAACCTCAAGCCTGACCTCCTGAACCAAAGTCAAGGCTCTAACACATGAGCATTTGCATAAACATGCTCATTTATTCCTCAAGTTGTCACAGTTACCTATTGTCAACAGATTAGACATCCAACAGCAGCTAACAAAAGCAAAAACAGCAGAAGTTATGAATAGAAAAGATCGGGGTATCCTCAACAACTCAGTCAAAAGTGAGCTTCGCTGACTCATCAACTCGTTCGTTTCAGAGTCCCTTCACAAAGTTTTACAGCTTCCTCCAGAATATAAAAAGTGGATGTTTCTCACCCAACACTGACAGCTGAGGTAAACAGCTGACTCAATAGGGAAAAACTTAGAGGTCAAGAGTCACTTTGCTGTCTGAGTACACTTCCTACAGATGAACCACAGCCAGGGGTCCAAATATAAAACACTGCATAATGTTTAATTGACCTCATCTGTTTTCTGGACCCCATAGCCATGACTGCTATGGGTTTCAGTCTAACCTTAATGTTTTTTCTCTCTTTTGGCTAACTAAAATGTGTTTGTCCTTTATCATCTACCATTACTAGGATTATGAACTTAAATTAGGAGGGGCAGTAAAACCAGAATTAGGCTGACCACAATCTACTGGTGAAAATTTACACAAGGTTCAAATGGGATAATAAGGGAAGTTTTCAAAAAATGAATAGATACAAAAGAGAAGAATCTAGCAGTGCTTGTTCATAGTTATGCCAATTTATAAAAACTGTGGACACTGATTTTTTGGGGGCTAATTGTTTCCCAAATTCTTTTCTGTTTCTTCAAAACTAGAGTCTTAAAAAAATAAAACTCAATCGAATTACTGTTTCTTAACCAAAACAAAAAGCTTATCAACTCAAGTAATATCAAGTATTCTAGAGACAAAGGTAAGACCATCATACTGACAGCTGAAGCTTAGCCCAAACTGAGTGATGCAGGACAATTATCTTAAGACAAGCAGCAAAAAGAAAAGAATCACAGTGCTGCGATGGCCCAATCAGTCCAGACCTCAACCTGACTGAAGTAGTAAATAGTAAGATCTTAAAAGAGCTGTGCATAAACGAATGCCTGCAGATTTTAATGAAATGAAGCAACACTGTAAAGAAGAGTGGACTAAAATCCCTCCACATCGATGTGAGAGAAGCCGTACAGCAAACAGTTACAAAGAAAAGGCCAAACCTAGCAGTCAGTCAGTCCTCTCTCAGACATACAGTCCTTGACAGCATCTGAATGTGTCAGCTTCGTGACTTAAGCACCCTGTGCACTTTTCTGTGAAAGATCTGCAAATGTCTGATCAGCTTTTATTATTTCCAGTAAGATTTGCACATTCATCTAACAACTAGGCAGCTGCAGCAGCACCTTAGCACCCAGCGACACACAAACACACTCACTTTGCCACTTTACTTAGTGACAATAGCAGAGAAAACTACACGCTGAAAAGTGTGGTTACACGTAACTAGAGCTGATGCTGAGAATACTCATTTCCACAAGTGCGACAAGTGTTTTCTCTCTGTCTCTGCTGTTGGTACGTTTAACATACAGATGCATGTTGTATCATAGACACAGATGAAGCAATGTCACAAACCCTGTGTCTAGGCCAATATTGCCAAAGGTATTCACTCACCACCTATCTAAATCACTTCTATGGCCACAATTATATAAAAGCAAGGGAAAAAATGCTCCTGCAAACATTTGTGAAAGAATGTGTTGCCAGTGTGGTACATTGATAGGATGCCACCTAAGCAGTCGTGAAATTTCCGCACTACTAAGTATTCCACAGTCAACTGTTAGTGGGATTATAACAAAGTGGAAGTGAGTGGGAACAACAGTAACTCAGCTATGAAGTGATATGCCACGTAAAATCAGATTCGGGTCAATAGATGCTGAGGTGCATAGTCCAGAGAAGTCCCCAACTTTCTGCAGAGCCAATTGCTACAGACCTCCAAATGGGCTTCAGATTTGATCAAGAACAGTGCATAGAGAGTTTCAAGGAATAGGCTTCCATGGCCGAGCAGCTGCATCCAAGCCTTACACCTCCAAGTGCAATGCAAAGTGTCGGATGCAGTGGTGTAAAGCACACTGCCACGGGGCTCTAGAGCAGTAAAGACATGTTCTCCAGATTGACGAATCGCACTTCTTCATCTGGATATCCAGTGGGTTTGGCGGTTGCCAGGAAAACGGCATAAAGCGTAAAGTTTGCTGGAAAAGGGAATATGGTGGGGGTTCGTTTTTCAGGAGTTGGACTGGGACCCTTAGTTCTATGAAAGAAACTCTTGAAACGGTTTGGAGCTGGCCGCTTCCTGTTACAACACAACAGGGATGAGCGAGTTTGTTGTGGATGTACTTGACCGGCCTGCACAGAGCCCTGACCTCAACCTGACAGAACATCTTTGGGTAGAATTAGAGCAGAGTCTTTGAGCCAGGACCAAGGTCCAATATCAGCGTCCGACCTCACAAATGCACTTCAGGAAGTGGTCAAAAAATCCCATAGACACACTCCTAAAACCTTTAGGAAAGCATTCCGAAAAGAGTGGAAGCCATTATAGCTACAAGGGTGGGCTGACATCATCTTAAACTATGAATGAAGAATGGGATGTCATTCAAGTTCATATGAAGGCAGATAACTTAATACATTTGGCAATATACTGTTTATGTATATATGTTAAAACTTATTTATTTATGGCCTTAGTTTAAAAGGGGCTCAGTGATTTCTAAAATAACAGTCGGTATCCATACTTTTACCAAATGTTACTGAAGCAGGAGGAAAAATTGCATTTTATGGGCTTTCATGTGGATTCATGCACAAACCTGGTTTACCAGTAGCTGTTTCCAGCAGTAGGATGGAGTGTATGTGTGATGGAATAATGTAAACCACAGTTTGTGTGTGAGAGCATTAAGCTTTTGAATTTTCAGAATAAAATGCTGAATGTTGTTATAGCATTTTCCTCTCCTTACAGACCGGGAGTCCTGAAGGATCTAAAGACCATGGGTTCTGTATCTCTGTTCATCTTCTTCATTACGCTACTGGTCTTAGCCAGGCAGGTGAGCAGCTTCCTCAAAGTGGTCTCGTGTAATTTTTTCCCTTTGAACGTTACGATTCTTTTCAGGTCATTCAGCACAATCGCAGAATCAGCGACTGACTCAGTGGAGCAGAGATGTTTTTGGGAAATTTAGCCCCGGTCGTTCTGGAACGACTTTTATGACTTTGTAGAAATTATTCTGGAACAGATGAAAGACAGTTAAACAGTGTTGGAGGACTTGGCTCATTATAAAGAAAGATCAAAATATCTTTGGAGCATTAGATCTGCCAGTTTGGCCCACTGCCTCCATCTCCTCTGTGCCCACCATCCTCACTTCATAAGACCCAAACTCATCTGACACACATTGGGTGTTTGTGTTTTATCTTCTTTTTTTTTTGTGAGGTATACCATCCATCATCTCTGACCTCAAAGCTGATGTTCGGGACAGAAGGACAGCCACAAGAGCTTTAGTACCCAAACTGGGGCTCCTCTGAGAGGCACAGTTGGTCCAAACTAGCTCCCTGTGTTGTTCTCATTCTGGGTCACTCTCAGCAGAAAAGAGGGGGGACTTTGTTATGGAAACACAACTTTGCTGAGTGAAACTCTTTGTCACGTACAGATCATGAGGTAATTGGGTTTTTTTTTTTTTAACAATGCTTTTGGGTTATTGAGAAATATCATTTCTAAAACAGGTCAAAAGGTCTTTCGAGTGGTATTGCCCACATTTTCCACTGGAGTTGGCTGTATATGCTTTAGGCTGCTATTAAGAAATTTGCCTTACAAATTCTTCATCTTTAGCTCTAATGAGGCTTTTCCCAGGCATTTAGTCAAAGAGAGGGGAAAGCAGGTTACTGTAAACAAGGCATCTGTAATTCATCACTGAAGAACAGCTGCGCAATGGAGCAAAACTCATTTACAGGCTTTTTAGCTGGTTTCTAAACAGCATCTGATATGAGCTCTACTTCTTTCGGCCTACTTTTTCAGCCTAAAAGAGGTACTGGAATTTATTGTGCCACAAAACTGCACATACTCATACTGTGCATAGGCGCATATATACATGCGCACGAACAAGTGGTGTCACAGTTCTTCTCTTTTTCCTTTTTTCACACGGCTCTTCTCACTCGCCGTGACAAGTGGTTCAGACTTGCTGTCCTCAGAGGGCAAGAAGCTCCTCTGTATTTGCATTTCAGCCTCAGGCTATCAACACTATAGCGCAAGATCTCAGCGCTGTTAGTCTTCTAAATAGGCATCATACTTTAATCTCAGGGGAAACGTATTTAGTGCACACATACATCATCCAGACTACGAACCACACACATGAAGTACATCTCGAAGGACACTAAAAATGCTCCCACGCACACGCAAACACACACCGTAGGGGCCAGCCCACAAGAAGCCTGCAGCGTTCACATACATGAGAGCATAATGATGGTGCGTTCAGGGGATGCTGCCTGATGCACACACACACACTCCTGGGATGTTTTGACCTCCCTATATGAATCTTCCTGACATATTTAGACGGTTCAAAACTACCTCAAGCTTGAAAAAGCAAAGAGCAGAAAAAACAAAAAAAAGCAGTGGCTATCTTTTATGCAAAACAGCCCTGTCTGTTCTCGATTTCCTTGAGCCATCATAGCGGAGCTTCACGCATTGTTTCATTGTTGTATTATTGGAGCTTTAATTTTCTATGAATACCAAGCATGCCCTTTAGTTTCAGTCGGTGAGGTTGCTCGAGATAGCCTATGAAGTTTCCGTTCAGTGGCGATGATTAGAATGGGATACGGGCAGCCGGTCGCTGAGAAATGCTCCCATATCGTGGACGAATATATGGAAGATGTTTTTACAGCATCCTGTCTGTGATTAGATTTGTGTTATAAAAAATGAATATTTGCAATTAACTCTAATTTAAAATTCGCTTTCTTCTCTGTGTATTAGTTGTTTTTTTCCCGTTTTTGGTTCAAGTTTCTACTGAGAGAGTGCTGGGTGTGAATGACGCTGGTGTCTCTTTACTCTGTGTCCTCCTGTAACAGAATGAATATTACTGTAGGTTAGACTTCCTGTGGAGGGATAAGTTCAAGAGGGAGTGTGAGGAGATCGAAACCATGGAGAACCTCAACCGGGTTCTGCTGGAGAACGTCCTACCAGCTCACGTGGCTGAACACTTCCTGGGGAGAAACTGGAAAAATGAGGTAGAGTGCTGTATTGTTATGCATTCCTGTTCAAGTGTACCCATTTTTAGCACTAGTACTATAGAAGGTAAAGCCTTCTGCAGTTTTTTAGCAGATTTATGGACATTTAATTACAATAACCAGCAGTGAACCTAAAATTAGGATACACATTACTGTGTGCTGAGACTCGAATGATTTATGACTCAATAAATGAGAATGAGATTTAATGCACCCATCTTTTCACCTCGAGTAACATCCCTGCGTCATTTGTTCTTTTCCCGACCCTTTTTTCAGGAGGTGAAAGGCTTTAATCAAAAAAAAAGAAAAGAAAAGAGTAAAGAATAGCACATTGTGAGTGTTATGTTCTGAAATCAGCAGTTTCCCCAGGAAATTACTGAATTGGGCCAAAAAACACTGGCTTCCCAGAAATATTAAGTACTGAAATGAGATTTAGTACTTAGAAAAGAACCTGTTTCCCGCTGTTTTAAATCTTCTTGCTTAAGCTAATATAGTTGTTTTTATTTCATATATACCATGCAGAAAAATACAAAATATCAAACTAATTGTGTAAAGAGGTAGTTCAGGTAGCTCAGCCGTTATCCCAGAAGATACGTTGATCCTGATGTCCGCCCCATCACCATAGATACAGCTGATACCCTTCTAAAGACCCAATGAGCAAATTTCACATAGGCCCCCATCTCACAGGCCTAGAGACCAGTCAGAGACTGTTTGGGAAACACTTGTTGCTAGGGAAAACTAAGTATGGCCCAGTCGGTTGGTGGGTAGTTGTGGAAGGTTTCTGGCTGTCGCTATGTGAAACTGGCCACGGCTAATATATGGAAATGGGAACTGTTCACCTAAACCTTGCAGCAGTAAGATGCAACTTTTACTCTGAAGGTGAACATTCCTTGTTCCCATTTTGCATTCCACTTTTTTAAGTTTCAGTAGTTTTTTTGCAAACAAGTTGGCATCTTCCATACAAGCTAGAGGTGATGATGGCAATCTGCTGGCAACAGAAGTCATCGCAAGGAGGTTTTCAGTGCAGCACCACATTGTGACCGATATCAACCTGTGACAGCCAGCAACCACTTGCCAACTGGTCAGGAAGGTTATATTTTCTCCCAGCAACCAGTGGTTGGTCTCTAATCCTCTGTGAATGAGGTCTACGCTTTCATAGTCCTCCCACCAATGCTGTGCACCTGCAAGCCACTTTGCAACCCACCTCCACCTGATTACCCACCTCCACCTGGGACAAACATAAAGCAGAGATGTGTTTCTGTTAGAGGAGATAACTTGTGGAATAGTTATGACAGTGATTTAAAAAGGTGGAGTTCATTTTCCTTGTTTAAAAACAAGTTTAAAAATAAAGTATTAGAAAAATATATAAATCAAGAATGAAAAGAGCAAAAATAATAATACTGGAACTCTTGGTTGTTTTGCTTTGATGTAGTTACTTATCTAAGGTGGAAAGTTTTTGTTTGTTTGTTTGTTTTTGCTTTGTTTTAAGCTTTGCTTCGAGCCCTGTGTACAGGAGCTGCATGCTAAATGATCTTTTGTTAAAAGGGTTGGCGTAATAAGCATATGCTTCAGCCAATACCTTTGTCTACCCTTGTCTCGCGCTTTCTTGCTTTGTGGTAATCTTTATTCTGTATTCACTGAGATATTTGAATGCTAATCAATAAATCAAAAAAATATCAAAAATAAAATAAATTACCTCCTAATGCTATATTTGACTTAATTAGGGTCATATCTGTCGTCACTAATGTTTCCTCTGTTTCGTGGTTGGCATCTTCATGATAATCTACTAGAATAGCACACACCACCAAGCATAAATCAGTGCAGATGGAAATAATCTTCTTTTGACTATCGTGGTACTGACTGAAAAATACATGATAAAAACTGCATATTTTATATGTGCTGTTAACACATATCCTTTATAATGATATTCCTTATCTGTCACATATTGTTCAAATCATTTTCTTTCCCAGTGGAGTTTAATAAACACATTCCCTTTTGATTTCTGTTATTTCACTCTTTCCACAGACGCTGTATTAGACGTGGCCTACTTGCTTAACATACTTTCCGTTCCCGTGCTTCACCTCAGTTGCTCTGCTCTTACTTCTGTCTGTCTTGTAATGAACGCTGTTACTATTTTGCTCCTGCAAACACCCAGAGTCCCCCCGCAGATATGATTAAAGCTTCTTCGTATTTATTTAAAGAGTCGGTGTCATTGTTCAGCACGAGCTATTCAGCTCATAGATTTCCTTCACCTGTGCCAGATCAATACAACCCATAGAGCCGTTATCTTCTTCTCGCTCGTTACCAGGACCTTTATCATCAGTCGTACGAGTCGGTGTGTGTGATGTTCGCCTCCATCCCAGACTTCAAAGAGTTTTATACTGAGTCTGATGTCAATAAGGAGGGACTGGAGTGTCTCCGTCTTCTCAACGAGATCATAGCAGACTTTGATGAGGTAAACTCCTCTCATATTGATAATCCTTGCTGTCTCAGTCACAATGGAAAAAGGAAAAAACGAAAAAGAAAAAAATAACCTTCCCCTGCTGCTTTTTTTTGAGAAGCAATCACACTTGGTTATTATGCTCTAAAGTAGCAGGGAAAGCAGAAGAAAATGCCAGCGTTTGGCTGAAAGCCACCGCTATTTCCTGCTTCTTGTAGATGTAATATAATGGGCTCTTTTCCTCCTGCGCCCGCAGCTGCTGTCCAAGCCAAAATTCAGCGGAGTGGAGAAGATTAAGACCATCGGTTCTACCTACATGGCTGCGACTGGACTCAACGTGACGCCAGGACCAGATTGTGCACAGGCAAGTTTCTACACACGTCTGCATTCACAAAGAGCCACAGTGTTTACTGCTGCTCCAGACAATCTGCATATCATTCAAGCACCAGTGATTCATTACTGCACTTTGAATACATCAGTGTAAGCAAATTAGATCATCGTTCAGAAATGTGGCAGCACTGTGCTTTGTTTAAAAGAAAAAAAACCTTCCTGATTGGTGGAAATGTGCTTAACTGACATTTGCAAAGCCCCCACCAGCCACCCAAACCCCCAGTCACTGTTGCTGCACCTGCATCTTCTAGCAGAGCACATAATGTAGTCTGCAGGGATAAGAGCGCTCTGCACTCAGAATCCTTGGTAATTTTTATAACAATGCGTAGCTGATTTCACACAGGGGCAGACAGAAGCAGGCGTCTCTTTGATGGCTGATTTGCTGGACTGCTGCAGGCTGATTGTATCAGCTGTTGCCAACTCTGTCACTTTTTAATGTTTCCAGCTTGCTGATTTCAGATAAAGAAGCATGTAAAGCTAAAAAAAAAAAACCACTTGATCGCACAATACTGTACATGACATCAGTAAATAACATGGGGGGATTAGCTTTGTTTTGAATCAAGTGTTTTTGTTCCAGTATTATAAATGAAAATGGAATGAGAGCAGATCAGTCACAGCCCTGGCTAGATCATTTGTTCTGTGTAGAGAACCAGGATTTATCTTCTTTAAATGCTTTGCCTTACATCTGGGCATGAAAAGGTTTTGAGGATTTTAGCATTAACTCATTAAGCAGCAAGTTTGGGAAACTAGCTTACTCCTAACCCCTTTTTGTGGTGTTACAGAGACAAGTATTCCCCAGATACTAGGGATATGCGTAGTTATTAAATTAGACAATTAAATTAAAAGCCTTAACCCTTGCGAGGCAGAAATATTACTCAGTTAAGCTATGCGACAACAAATAAGGGGAACATCTTGTAAGAGCATTGAGATTTGGAAGTATTTTCATGTAGGAAATGCTGGCTAGGTGTAATAAACTATAAATTTAACATTTTATTATGGCCCAACCGTAACCGGCTTAGCAACCTGTTTCTGTTGCTATCCAGCTGTGCTGCTGTAAACTTCATCTCCAAAGCGTTTACTGCCCAGTGTAAAACCAAGCTACTATCACTTTAAAAACATAAACAGTCACAATCTCGCACTAGTGTCCCCTGTGACTGTTTTCTCTTCATTACCCTCAGGAACACGACAGACAGTACATGCACATTGGCACAATGGTGGAGTTTGCATTTGCTCTCGTTGGGAAGCTGGATGTCATCAACAAGCACTCTTTTAATGACTTCAGACTGCGGATCGGTGAGAGCTCTTCCTCGTAGCATGAACACGGCACAGATTTCACTTTACATAAAGGTGTGTAATCATTCTGAAATGTTAACTGCTTTGTCTATTTGTAAGGCATAAACCATGGGCCAGTGATTGCAGGAGTAATTGGGGCCCAGAAGCCTCAGTATGACATCTGGGGAAACAGTGTGAATGTGGCCAGTAGGATGGAAACCACTGGGTTACTGGGAAAAATACAGGTGGGATGTCTTCCAAAGCACTCTTGTATTTCTTGCCAAATTTTATTGAATTTTTTTTTTTTTTTTAATCACATCTCGTCCTTCTGTGCAGGTAACAGAGGAGACACGTGAAATCTTAACAAAATTAGGGTACATGTGTTCATGTCGCGGCATCATCAATGTGAAGGGTAAAGGAGAGCTGAAGACCTACTTTGTTCACACAGAGATGACCAGATCTCTGTCACAAGGGACCGTGATGCCTTGAGCACGCCACGCTAACCGAACAAATAGACTTGACGACACAATTGCGCACACAAAGTGGCCGTAGAAGTGATTTGTCATTCTCTGTTAAGTAAAACCCATTACCAGAAGCCAGCAGCACGACGGATAGATGATTGTAAAGAACCACTTTTGTCCTTAGCAGCACAGTGTAAGCTGGAGCCAAGGTGCACCGCCGCAGTCCTTCAAGGCTGCACTTAAGATGGTTTTCACATCTCAAGTGTAACAAGGACTTCACTCTGAGGGGTCACTTGACTGTCTAAAGGAGTGCCTGACTCAAAGGGAGGTTTGCTAAATTAGTGCAGCTCTCAAGGACCGCAGTCACCCGTCTGTACAATAGTAGCGGTGTGGAGCTAATTACCCATGCCAGTGTTGCTGTGCTTCAGAGCCTTACACTCGAGCAAACTGAGCCGCCTGCCGAGCTGTGGTTTTTTGTTTTTTGTTTTTTCCCTATCTACGCTTGGTTGGCAATGTGAGCCGGTTTGTTACATTTTATTGCAAATGGATGTTACAATAGTTTATTGTCATTTAGAGCTATTGTTGCCAACAAAATGCCAGCGTGATGGTTAGTTTGCCAGAACCTGTGATTTGTATTTATAACTACAGAGCCGCGTTTGTGTCCCACTCGAGCAGGTGGACTCAGGCGCGGGCTCAAAAGTAGAGGTTTCTTTTTTATAATCCATCTGGAACCAAACCAACCGCATGTGTGTAAATGTCCACTGCCATTCTTTTGTTATTCATTAAACATTTGTATATAAACTGACGTCCTTTGTCTGTCTTTGGTTTAGTGCTCTAAACAGAAGAGCACGATAAAAGATCTGTCACACTGTAAACACACGAAGTATTCACTGGAGTCAGTAGCTCATTAGTTTCATTAGCTTTAAAGTTGTGATGCTCATTTCCAGTTCTGTATCTTTAGTCTTACGCTGCTTGAATCACAGTTCAAAATAACCCTTAGAGTGTTTACCTGCTCAGAGCTATGGTGAAGCTCAGTATTTCACTCTGCCATTCACCTTCCTTTGAGCTAGCTTTCTCTTGATTGGCTGCCCCTCATAAACAGAAGGTTTCAACTTACATATATTAGGAACTTTTTACCTCTTTGACATGGCACAGAGCCAAGAGTCAAAACCCTGATAACCAACAGCTAATCTCAATGTCATTACAAGCTTGATAGTGATTATTTGAACATCTGTTCATGTTTATTTTGAGCATCTTTTGCTATAAATATATGTACTATATATGTACAGGTTCATAAAAAGGTAACCGTTCATATACTCTATATTCATTGCTCACGATTGCAAAGATTTTAAATCTTTTAGAAAATATCATTGTGGTTTATGGCTCCTGAGATTTAGAAATTCAATACACAATAGATGAAAATCAAAACTGCTTTACAATATAGAAATGACCAACTTCTGAAAAATATATATATTTCTACACTCAGTGCTTGGTTGAGGCTCGTTTATCATTAATTCCAGGATCAATGCAGCGCTCTTATGGCTTATGGCACAGCTAAAATGTTCTTGATCATAGCCTTCACCTCGTCTGTTTCCTGTCTTCCTTTTGTAGTAGTTTAATAATACACCACAGTGTGAGGTACAGATCAGGTGAGTTGACTGGTCAATCATGTACAGTAATAACATGGACAGTAAAACCATTCGGTAGTACTCTAAGTGCTGTGGGCAGGTGTGCTGAGTGCTGCTGGAAAAGCAAGTGAGCATGTCCATAAAGACTGTCAACAGATGAAAGCATGAAGTTCATTTTAATTCATTTCAATTTAATTGTATTTATACTGCATTAAATCACAACACTTGTATCAGCCTGTATTGCCAGGTTAAGACCCTAAAATAATAGTGAAAACCCCAACAATCAGACCACTCCCTATGAACAAGCACTTGGTGACAGTGGGAAGGAATAACTTCCTTTTAACGGGAAGAAACATGCAGCAGAACCAGGCTCAGAAAGGGGCAGCTATGGACTGTTTGAAGTTGGGGGAGACAGACAGGACAAAAGACATAATACGGACAAGAGCCTGGTAGAGTTGTGGTAGATGGCTAATAGACTTTGGACTTCATAAATTGGACTAACACCAGGAAATATTATGGGGCGGGGTATTTCTTGTCACTGTAACCTTGAAACACCAACTCCTCTAACAGCTCCCTAACATCACTGCAGTTCTAGCACCACATACATTTAAATCTTGTCAAGTTTCTAAGAATAAGAGCTCTATTTCAGCCACAGTACAAAGGCAGAAGCAAATGAGAGCTGTCTGCACTCAAAAATAATCTTATCGTGTAGGAGGCTGATCTCTGTTGCGTGGGTTTAGTATTTATACACAAAAAGAATCTGAGAACTTAGTGAACCGAGGAGGTTAGTGAGGTAAAAAAAAATGCATTTATGTAAGGCGAGGTGAACTAAAAAAAAACAGTAAGAAAAAAACAGATCAAATGCAGGGAGTGCAGCGTACACTGATGTAGAAGCTAATTTAAAAAGAATGGGTTGTTCAAATGATCAGTACCTGAGAGAAACTGGCCAGCTACTCCAACGCTGGCTTCAACCTTTCAAATTTGCTCCATACAAAATCCCATTACAAAAATTCACATTATTCCTGACACCCAGAGTGTAAAAACAAACATCACACAAGAAGGCAGTCAGAAAACAAAATCTAATCTTTGAGCCATACAGAGAATTCACCTACTAAATCTGGGAAATACGTTATGATTCACTTCAGTCTCGACTGAAACATTATATTCATGCTGATTGAAGAAGAAAATGTAGGTGGACTTTCGTAGAAAATAAAGGTCTTTTCTAGTCATTAAGAATAAAAATCTGTCTTGCCACTACAGTCAACAGTTATGTCAGTGGGTTAAATGTTTACACTTGCATTCTTTTACTAAACAATCTACAGAGCACAACATTGTTTATTATTAGAGTTTCCACAGTGAGAAAAAAACGCCTTCATGCACTGATACGTCAGACTTTTAAGAAGGTCTCACTGATCCGTATCCTTCTTCCACACTCCATAAGATCCCATTTTTCATGTAGATTTCAGATTTAATGCAGGCTACACGCGCATACTGCCTCTCTGTGAAGTAGAGTGTGGGAGCGGGACGACGGCCATACTCTGACGAGGACAGCACCGGCACAGTTCTGGACCTCTCCTGGAAGGGAGCAGCATGGCCACATGGAAGAAGTGTTAAAGCTGCGCTAGCTGTGATGCATGTGTTGGACTTCTCTTTCCACAAAGTTGCATATTTTAAAAAGAGGAAGTTTAGGGAAACATGAAGCAGGAGGTTTCCACAGCAATTATGTTCATATGACAAAGTTACATTGAGGTAATGTCACACACACACACACACACACAGATATACATATACATATAAAATAACCCCATCACTGATCATTTAGATTTAGTTATTTTTTTTCTGGCACCAGGCAGCCTTTTTTTAAACAACATTATCTCCTGCTGAAGTTGATTTTTTTTCTTGCTAATTGTTACACACATAGCTGGTTTTGTGTCTTACATTTCATAAGGACCACAGTGTAACTGTACCTGATTTTCAGGTGAACAGAGACATTAATTTGAGCGGTAAAAAGAAATGTGGAGGCGTTGCACAGAAGGAATGTGTCTGTGGCATGAATACTGAACTGCTAGCTGTTGGAACGTGTCCGTATTACTTGCTGAAAGGATTCATCATTCCTGTTGCTGTTTGAATCAGCACGCCAGAGCTGTTACAGATGTAGCTAATGGATTCCTCCATCAGCTGCTGCAGACACAGTTTATGGATTTCTCCATCAGTTAAGACAGAATTCATTGAAAAAAATGACTGTAGCTGTGGTTAGTGACCACACACTTCACCACTCACTGGACATACAGCTGAACACCTTGTATAACATATTTCTGAGCTGCTGCTACCAGGACAGCTTTATCACCTCAATATAACTATTTCCTATAATACAGCTATATTTCCACCTTTTATTACAAGATGCAAATTAAGTAAAATTGTGGCTCTTTGCTATTAAAAACATCACATCTAGGGTGTGTCCATTAGATAACAATGCTATAACAACAACTAACTGTTAACTGTTTAAACCCCAAAACCAGACCAGTGAATCTGTTGCTTTGAAGTGTACAGCTTCAGGTCGATAACTAAACCTGCTACTGTTCTGATCAGTAAGACGGTTGAAGTAAAGGTATTTTTGCACTTAATGAAACTATCGTGGTTTGCTCCTCTGATTAGATTCAATTTAGTCTCTTTCTTATTGCTACGTCCCACACTGACAGAAATGAAAGCTGCCCTCCAAAATTGTATGAGCTATCCCCTGTTGTCTTTGGGAAAACTGAAATACACATGCTGCTCATTATTATCGAGGGCACTAAGGTGTCTCTGGGTGGGCTTTTTCAATAGCTCTGTTAACACCAGGAACCTCTGACTTCAGAAAGGTCAGGCAGTATGTGCTTCTGGCTCTGGTAGGTCTATATTTTTACAATTACATTCAGTGGAAACAGAAGAAGAAAAATAGAACACTGTCATCATGCTCTAATGAGAAAAAAAATGAAACATTTTTAAATTATTATTCTCATTTTTAACTCCATATTTTTTGTCCTTGGAGTCTGCGGCAGTTGTTTAATGCAATTAATGTTTGTTAAATGCCCCGTATTTCTGCATCCGTAAGAGGTGTATGCACTACATTACGTGACCATTACCTCTTTATTTATGTCAAGTCCTCTTCCTTTCCAGTGTTTTCTGTCATCCCGGGGGAGCCACATATCAAAACCCTCAACATGGTTGTGTAATCGGTCATACATGGACACATCTGAGACCTAAATGTGGAGAAGAAAGAGTCCAGCATTCAAAGTATTTCCTGTTGTGGAAGGAGATGCTTTTTTTTGTCACTTTGGGCAATGAGAAGTAGGTGTTAATAGTAGAGGGGAACGCAAGAGTGCTAGCAAATACATAATACATGTATAAATATACAAAGGGTGAGTGGTGAACCGTTTTTATATAGTTTATAATTCAAAAGGAGTTCAAAAGCACCAACGCAACTTTATTAAGAAAGGAGTTTTAAGTAGGTACAATTTAATGTATTAACCCGCGTTAATATTCCCAATTTTGTTAACTGGAGATTTTGTTAATTGTTATAGTTATAGATACAAACTATAACTATAACTATAACTATAACTGAGCGTTATCCTAAATAACACTCAGTAATAAATATAACTGGCTAGGTTCTGTTAGCTAACCAGTGTTACCTTCGCTTCGTTGTTAAAGTAGGACATTTGTTTGGGCTCATTTCTTCGCGGTGTGACGTAGCTGAAGGCTGACAGTGTAGCCAGCGGTTTGGTTTTTGCCTCGAGTGAAACGTCCATCGTTCTAGCTCAAAACCTGTCTCAAAACCCCAGAAAAGTCCAGTCAAACTGTCCAGTCAGACCGCAGGCGTCTGGGGTTGCTAAGATACCAACCTAGCAACTTGATGTGCTGCCTTCACATGCTTTTGGAGTTTCGTGTACTTCCGAGTCTCTTGCTGCTGAAGGTTTTAAATCAAGTGTTTTCAAAGCAGGTGTGTTAAACCTAAAAATCAGGTTAGAGACTCCAATCTCGCCCACTGGACTTCCATGGAAAATATGAAGGAGGGCGCACATTTTGGAATTCTAACTGTGTTTTCATAACGTTTACAGCTTTTCCTAATGAGAAATACCTCTGCAACATTCTTCACAGTACACCAAAGTAATAGATAAACATTAAATGACAGAAAAGTTTG